CCTTCCAGGCCCCTGTGTGCCCAGGACCAACCAAGGAGCAACAGGAGGGGCAGGGTGGGAGGTCTGCTGTCCCCAGAGGCCAGCAGTGGCACTGCACTGCTGCCCTGGAGCCCCATTGCAAAGCATCCCACCCCCACTTCCCGCCTGAGCCACAGTTTCCCAAGCCAAGGATTCGCCCTTCATGTCTCTCTTGCTTCAGCCCTGGGAACTCAGGACCTTTGCACAGAACTGCATCTCGGCCCATTTTATTTCTTGTTTCGAGATGAAATCCCACGAAGTCATAAGCTCTCCTGAGTTCCTGGCAACCTTCCTGTCGAAGCCTCCCAGAGTGCGGGGATCACAGGTGTGCACCCTATGCCCACTCATCCTTCACTTCCTGCCTCAGGGCCCACTTTTGGGGAGCTCATCTTGAGACAGCCGTGGGTCCCCTGAACTTCAATTCCTGAGTGGGTCGGTCCTCTGTCAATGCCCCAGTCTGCATCCTGTGTGCACCCCTCTGTCTCCAGGAGTAGGCTGGAGACACAACACAGCTTCTGGCAGCCTCTTGTCCCCCACTCAGCTCCCACAGCCTGCAGGGTCCCCCGGAGCTGGAACTGCAGGTGACTCTGGGTTCCTGGCCAGGGATGTGGGCTCTGTCCCCGCTGGGGCCCTAAGGACACGGCATCTGGGTCAGGCTTCCTGAGTCTCCAAGCAGCACCAGCTCCAGGCCAGGTCCATTGCCCTACAGGGCCAGGCCACCTGCACCCTTCGGGACAGGTCCGCATCAGGGTGATGTCAGCCCTGGGTCAGCTGCTGCCCACAAGGTGGGGTCAAGTTCTCTGAGGGCTTCGGGGGATAGAACAGTGGCACACTGGCCACTGTGACTCAGCCCAAGAAGGCAGAGGGGTGACAGGACATCATCCCTCTTATGCAGGAGGTTCCAGAACCTTCCACATGCTGGCCATCAGAGGGGGAGCTATGTGAAGGACACAGCTAGCCAGGCATGGCCAGGGGAGCAGGATGCCACATCTGCCCTGGCTCCTGTGCTCCTCCAGGGCATGGCCACATCCCACGTCCCCAAATCCTGCTCCCTCATGATCTCCCTGCCTGGCCCCCACCCCATGGAGAAGGCATAGGGGTCCTTGCTGCATCTAGGAATCCAGGAGGGCTTGATGAGGAGGGGTCATCTGCTCTGGGCTTTGAAGGGTGAACAGAAGTCTCCCAGGAGAGGCATGAGTGTGGATCTGTGTGTGCGGTGAGTGGGGGGTAGAATAGCTCATTTTATCTCACAAGCATCTTTCCCCCCAGCTGGGAAGGGCCACAGCAGGGTATCCCCCAGGACAGCTCTGGATGTCGGGGAGAGACAGAGAGAGATGGTGAGAGAGGGACACAGAGACTGGGACATCAGAGACATTAGAGAAAAGGCCACAGAGGAGCTGGCTCCAGGGACTACGAGCAGGCCCGATGTGAGGTTGGGCGGCGACGGCCTGGCCCTGGTCGCAGCACCCCTCGTCCCGGAGCCACCCCTTCTCCTCGGGCATCAGGAGGATGTGGAGGGCAGGGGCCCACAGGTGAGACGGGCGGGCCACCCTGTCTGTGGAGTCCGCATGGGCACGTGGACGCCTGTGTCTGCCTATCTATGTCTTCCCGTGTGCCCGAGTGTTGGTGCATTTTAGTGGGTGAACCTCGGGGGGAGCGTGTCTGTGCGTGGGCCTCGTGAGCGGATTCCACTGGGGACAGCCAGTGGTGAGTGTACAGGAGCTGTGGGGCTCGTGGAAAGCCGTGCGTGTGACTCCGCGGTGTGGACGCGAAGGCCGAGTGTCCAGACAGCAGTTGGTTGGACAGTAGCTCAGTGTGCGCATTACGGGAACTGCGCATGCACGTGCGTGTGCGTGCACATATCCGGGGCTGTGTTGAGCGGGGCCCCGTACCCGCAGGGCAGCTTCTTCCCCCTGCATGTGCATGTGCATGCATACGCGCGTGTGCACGCAGGCCCAGACTCTAGTGGCCTCCCGGTGTCACTGGGACAAGGAGCCAGGACCCCGGGTTCTTATGCCCGTGTCCTGTACAGCGCATGCGGGCCCCGCCCCAAGCCCAACAGATGGTGGGGTCAGGCACAGACACCCCAGCTGGGCCAGGAGGCTAGGGGGAAGGGCGCCCAGGCCTCAGGTGAGCCCAGTATCCCGGAGGGCGACAGGAGTGCAGCTCCATGCTGTCGCAGCCTGGTCACCTCCCTGCACCAGAGTGTGGGAACGCACGGTGCTCATCAAGTGCCGGGTCATTTCCTGCCCAGCTCCCCTTCCCGAACAGCCCTCCCGCCCCCAGTGTCCTGTGATGTCAGCCAGCTCGCCCTGTTGTTTGCTGCCACCCGCACCCCTCCTCCTGCCCGAGCCACGCCCTGGACTGCCCGCTCCTTTCTGTCATACTCCCTCATGGTGAAGGGCCTAGCCAGGGAGCAGAGATGCGCAAGTTTACAGCTCTAATTCTCACTAAGATGTGAGTGACTCATAGGACTTCATCCTCCAAAGGGAAGGAACCCTCCAGCCCCGTCCCCCACCCCCACCACCCCGTTCGCCCCCCAACCCAGCCTCTAGCTGGGTTTTTCTTTCTTTCTTTCTTTCTTTCTTTCTTTCTTTCTTTCTTTCTTTCTTTCTTTTTTTTTTTTAACTAAGTTGCTGCCACAGGAGATGTGGGCTGAGATTCAGGCTCCCTGGTGGCCAAGCATGAAGCCCGAGGTCCCAGAGCCCCAGAGCCCCAAGGAGCTGATGGTCGCTCCCCCGGGACTCGATTTACCTATAGTGCCTCCGCTGCTACAGAAAGTGACTCGCAGAGACCAGAGGCAGAGTCCCTGCTCCCAGCCAGTCCTGGGAGGGGCCAGGCCACTTCCTGCCCTACCCTCCCCCAGACAGCGGCATCCGCTGCCCTGGCCTCCTCTGAACTCTGCGTCCTGCCTTGGCCTGCCCAGAGGACCCACGCACGGGGAATGAAACAGCGTGTGTGCCACGACCCTCCTGGCATCCCACGGGCAGGGAAACTGAGGCCTGAATGCCAAGCAGGCTTCGTGTGTGGGATGAATGGAAAAAAGAGCTTGGTCTCAAGTCCGTCCTGTTACTCATACCACTAAGGCTGCTGTCACTGATTCACTCAACAAACTTCCTACAATTCTTCCTCCCAGGCCAGGTGGGGACAGGACCTCAGGGTTAGACGGGCAAGGGCCTGGAGACCCTGGGGGGGGGGGGGCTCCGCCCAGTGCCACAGGGCCCCACCCTGAAGCTCAGGAATTGCTTCAGGACACAAGGATTCAGACCCTATCTGTCTCTAGGCCAGTTCTTTCCCCTTCTGGGGACTCAGCTTACCCTTCTGGAACAAGGCTTCAGACAGTCACTGAACCATGTCTGGCATATTTTACTTTTTTCTTTTTCTTTTGCTATACTGAGGATCGAACCCGAGGTCTTTCCACTGAGCTGCATTCCAAGCCCTTTATTTTTATTTTCTTAAATTTTGAAACAGGGTCTCAAGAAGTCACTAAGTTGCCCAGACTGGGGTTGAACTTTCCATCCTCACTCGCTGGGATTACAAGTTTGCACATCTTTAAGAATTGGTCAGAGAGAAGCTCAAAAGCAGTTGCTGGCCCACTCAGGGAGCTGTGGGCTATTCTCCAGGTGGGGAAACTGAGGACAGAGGCAAGGCTCGCACAGTGGGGATTTGCAGTCAGGCTTTAGACTTTCTGCCTCCCAGTAACACCCCGGAGGCCCTAAGAGCCACCAGCCCTGATGTCCCCAGCTAGGGACCCTTCGGGACACGGCAGGCTCCAGAGGAAACAGTCAGGACGGCAAGCCTTTGGGGCAGGGCCCCTGCAGGAACCTGCTCTGGGCCAGGCTTGGTGGCACACGCTTGTCATTCCAGCTACACTTGTCATCCCTGCTGCTCAGGAGGCTGAGGCAGGAGACTGCAATCCAAGCCCAGGCTGGGCAACACGGTGAGACGTAGTCTCAAAGTAAAATGTTACACAAGCAGAAGAGGACAGAGGGCATCGCTCCGGGGTGAGCGCTTGCCTGGGGGTCCATTCTGGGCACCTCAGGGAGACTAGGCTGCACCACCACCTGTATACTTGCATGCACGCACGTACACACACACACACACACAGAGCGGGGCAGTGAGACATCATGGTCTGGAGGCCCAGGGCACTGCGCTTTGGCTCCAGGGTCCCAACTGTGAGGGGAGGGTGGTGGGACACCGAGGTAGGACTAAGTGGGGAGCCCAAGTCCCAAGGGCGCAGAAGGTGATCTAGGGGCGCCGGGGTAGGGCTGGTTTCCTGTGGGGCTTGTTTCTGGTGGGCTAAGCGTCTGCAGTCTGCGCCCCACGGCCCCAAGCCACTCTAGCGGGGTGGGAGGCTCGCGGCAGAAACAAGGACTGAAAACTCAGGGACATTTTAATGACAAGGAACATGTAGCAAATGTGTGCACAGGGTGTCAGTCGACAAGGCAGGAAGCCCGGGGTGCAGGGCCTGCGCCCCCACAGAGCTCAGCCATGGCAGGCTCCAGGCAGACGCTGGGCAGGGCCGGGAAAGGGCGCCATCCTGACCCGAGCTCAGAATCCTCCAGTGTGCAGTGCTCCTAGCAGACTCGCGGGACTCCCGTTCCCCAAAAGCTGTCGTGGGCTCCTCAAAACTATCGGGCACCCCACTGCGCGGAGGCACAGCAAGTCCCAACCCCGGGGACAGGATGAGGGGTGGCGGCGCTGGGGTCGCCCCTGTTGCACAGAGGGGTAAACTGAGGCCGTCCCAGGTGGAGGCGGAGCTGACACACCTGCAGTGGCAGCGCGGAGACGCCGAGGCCAGCTGGCCGGGCACGCGGAGGCGCACGCCGAGTCGGAGCTCCCGGAGGAGAAAGCTGCAGCGGCCATGAGCGCGGGCGGCGGGCTCCGAACCAGTCACGGCCGGCCGGGTCCCGCCCACCCCGGCGGGCGGTGACGTCGCGGGCAGTGACCTCACGGCCCGGGCTGGGCGGGGCGGGGCGGAGCGGGCCGGACGGCGAGCGGGACCCCGCGCAGCCTGGATCGAGCTGCAGACCGAGCGCCCGCGCGCCATGGCCGGGCTCAACTCGCTGGAGGCGGTGAAGCGCAAGATCCAGGCGCTGCAGCAGCAGGCGGACGACGCGGAGGACCGTGCGCAGGGCCTGCAGCGCGAGCTTGACGGCGAGCGCGAGCGCCGCGAGAAAGTGAGGTTCCCGCTGCCCCCGCTGTCCCCGCTGCCCCGCGCCTTGGGACCCGGGACTCGGCCTCCTCCTCCCGCGCCTGCTCCCCGCAGTCGTCCCCGCGCCAGCCCGGCCTGGCGGGACCTCGGGGCCCGGAAGGACGGCGGGGGGCGTCGGGGCCCGGCCCAGGGCGCCCATTGTCCGGGGACCGGCCGGCTCCGCTTGGGCGCGGGGCGGGGGCGTCGCGTCGCGTCGTGTCGCGCTTTGTCGCCTGAACTTTCTCGGCCGGCCGGTCCGGGGCGCGGCGGCGGCGACGTGTCCGCGCCGGGCGGGAGGCGGAAGTGCGGCCCGGCCCCAGTAAGGGCCTCGCCATCCGCTCCCCGCGCTCCCCGCATCCCCGCCGGCCCGGGGCGGCGGCCTGGGGTTGGTGAGCGATTCTAACCCCGTCGCGTATCGCGCGCGTCCCGGCTGCCGGTGACCGTGGCTGTGGGCGTTCAGCTCGCGCTCCTCTCCCTTCCCCCAGCCGGGAAATTTGCAGTCTCGTGGAAGCCAGAGACGCACTAATAGAGGGGTGCAGCGTGGTTAGCACTGCGGGGCTCCGGTGCTCTGTGATGGGGTGCGGGACCGAGGGGGAGCGCAGGGACTCAAGAGTGAGACCAGGCAGTGCGCGCCGAGAACGCGAAGCGGTAGCGCTGGGATCCAGGCGGGGACCGAGAGGCTTGCTGCCAGGCTGCAGCCGCCGACGGTGCACACAGGGACACGTCTGGGGTCTGTCTTCGCCGGACAGCCCTGGAGCTGGCCTGCCTAGCGAGCTTGGTCCTGCCCAGACCGCTGCGTCTCGCAGACAAGGTTCAAAGCCCTGTCAGCCCGGACAGTAGCTGTCTGGCCTCTTTGGCACTCAGACTGCCTAACCCTCCGACCTCACCACAAGGCAGCTCGCAGGACAGCCAGATCCCAGATGGCCCTCGGTCGCCAGCCAGGACTCGGGGGCCTGTCCCGTGAAAAGGAGGATGTCTTTTGCAAAGTTTGGGGTTGCTCGAAAAGTTCCCTGTACAGCGCACGCAACTCTTGGTTGGGGGACAGCGGGGCTTAAGGTGATTCGAGGGCGAGGAAAGGAAAAGAAATCCCTCTCGGATTGGAGCGTCTCGCGGAGAGCGCTGGGCGTGTGGCAGACTTCTGGGCCTGCCTCCCAACAGCTGGTTTCGTTTAGATTTTTGTGTGATTAACCGACGTCTTCCTGTTCCTTTGCCACATGTATCTAGCAAGCCTCTTTTACCTTATAAGGAAAATCCTTTGTAGCCTGTGGAAGGCTTTGATTGCAGGAAGGGGTGGAGCCCTGAATGACTCTTAGAGTGACTGGCAGTTTTTCAGAAATACTTATATGTCTGTGTGGATGCAGTTTCCACATTTACGTGAACAGCCCAGAGCCCTTTGGAGCCCAGACCACTGAAAACCTGCCAAATAAACGTGGTTGCTAGGAGTCACCATTGCCACATCAGGGGCTGCTTGCTGTTTTTTTTTTATTATTATTATTCTTTTTCTTTTTGAGACAACTCATCAATCAAGCATCTCTGTATGATTTTTCTAAAGCAGATACTTGCCTGCTGAAGGGTACTGGATTTTCGGGGTGATGAAACTGTTCTGGAATTAGATGATGGTGTTCATTGCACAATTTTGTGACTCTGCTTAAAAAAAATATATGGAAGAAAACAGCAGCCTCCTGTCCCAGGCACTGAAGATTTGAAAAGTTGAGGTTCCTGCCATTAAAAAGAGGTGCCCTGGGTTTGAGGGGTTGCAGCTCAGTGGTCAGCACTCACCCAGCACACACCAAGTCCCCAGTGCCTCAAAGAAAAACGGCATCTGGTTATTTGGAAGAATTGACAATTTTTTTATTTTTATTTTTTTGAGGCAGGGTCTTACCATCTGGCCCAGGCTGGCCTCAAATTCACTAGGATCCTCCCGCCTCAGCCTCAGCCCTCTGAGTGCTGTTATCACAGGCATGCCCAACCGCCCACCACACCCAGTGGAGTGACATTTCCTAGGAAATCCTATCAGCAGTGCTCACTAAGCCTCGCCTGTTTGAGGGCGAGTTCTAGGACCTGGGGCTAATGAATCTTACTGATTTTGTCTCTGAGCCACCAATATCTACTCATTCAAGTACGTACTTTGTTTCTGCTGTGTAAACTCGCAGCAGCAGATCTGCTTCCCACTGATTACAGCCATCCACTTTCGGGGTCCAGGGTCCTCATCTGTCCTGGTGGGAAGAGGCAGCACAGCCTCTCTTGCCTCTGTACTTTCCCCTTAATCCCTTGTCTTCCTTTCTAGAGGTGGCTGCTCTGAGTCCTGGACTTTTAGATCTCTGCAGGGTTTGAGGAAGAGCCTCAGGTTGGGTGGGGCACACACATTGGGACTTTCCAGCTGTAAGTCACTCAACAAACCGCTTTGTAACAATAGCACTCATCCTCATCTGAGTTGCCTGAGGACGCATGTAAAGTGGTGTTATGTGAGGTTTCCCTTGCATGGTCCTCCCCACATGCTGGGGTGAACAGTGCACGGTGGGGTGGGGTGGGGAGGCAGTGGTGGATGCTATCAGGCTGTGGGAGGAAGGCTCTGGGCAGCCATGCTGCTGCCCCAGTGGCTAAGCCAGGAAGCTGACCCATTGCTGTCTGACTGAGGCACTGTGTGACTTTGCACATGCTCAACCACATTTCCTCCCTTATAGGTAAAAACACCTTGAAAAGCCAGTGAGAGTCGGGTGCACTACACCCTGGAATCCCAGCTGCTTGGGAGGCTGAGGCAGGAGGGTTACAAGTTCAAGCAATCTGACCAACTTATAAAGAGCCTGTCTAGGGTGTTGGCCTAGCATGGAGAAGGCCTTGGCTTCTTCCTCCAAAACTAAAACACCAACCAACAGGATTTGGGCATCTTGCTGGCCTGTGGCCAAGTCCTTTCCTTTCTGGCCCCATTTTTATGTCATTGCTTCTCAGTCAGTGTTGGGGACTGGTCCCCCCCACCCCCGCTGTTCTGCCCAGCCATGGGGGCAGATGACCAGTGTCTAGGCATCCATTGTGAGCATCATGTGGCCACTCAGATGTGGGGGTGCAGATGTGAGGGCTGCAGGGAGCTGAGGCACCCAGGGCTCGCTCCCCCGTAAGCCCACGTGAGGGCTAAAGCCAGGTGCCCCTGGGGGAGCTCGGAGTACAGCCGTGGACCTCATCCCAGCAGCACACCTAAAGTAAGTTGCTAGAAAGGCCCCACCTTCATGTCACAGCATGTGGCAGCTCGCCTTTTGATTCCTGCCAGTTCTATCACTCTCCATGATGCATGACAGGCATGCATATTTGCAGCTGCGGTGTTGACATGCCAGCCTGTCATGGAATGGCAGGTGTCCCCAAGGTTTGCAGGCCTCGAAGATTGCCCTGAATTTGATATGCACTGCAGAGAGGATTGTGCGAATTCTTCCCACCTGGGGGGCTTGGGGGGCCTTAACGTGGCGGCGGGGGCTCTTGGTGCAGCCCCACCTGTTCCCCCTTAACCTGCCCAAGTCTCCCACCCCTGCAGGCTGAAGGAGATGTGGCTGCTCTCAACCGACGCATCCAGCTTGTGGACGAGGAGCTGGACCGGGCTCAGGAGCGACTGGCCACAGCCCTGCAGAAGCTGGAGGAGGCAGAAAAGGCCGCAGATGAGAGCGAGAGGTAAGGGCCTGAGCCCAGGAGGTCACTGCTGGTGCCTGGAAAGCTGGGTGTCAGACTGGGGTCCAGACTGCAGGGAAGGGCAAAAAATGGACAGAAAAATCACAAGTGTGGTGCCTACAGTGGTTGATTTGGCAAGTGCTGCCTTCTGGGAGGTGCTTCTCACTGTATCCTTCACAGTTCTCGGGGAAACTTGTAAAAGGGGAAATAAGCCGGGTGTGGTGGCTCACATTTGTAATCCCTAGCATTCTGGGAGGCTGAGGCAGGAGGATTGAACCCAACCTGGGCAACGTAGTGACTCAGTGGGAACCTGTCTCAAAAGGAAAACTAAAAAGAGGTCTGGGATGTATAGGGATCATTGCAAAGGCCCCGGGATCCGTTTCCCAGCACAGGAAGTAAAAGGGGAAGGGAGCAGAAGCTGAAGTGGGCCATCTGCTGAGAAGCCATCAGTGCCACCAAGCATGCTGCAGGCTTGAAGGTGGTAACAGCTGCATATGGGGACATTGGACAGGCAGCACTGTCTGCGTACTTGTAACCCACATGGCATTTACACTGGATTCGGGCCTCCACCAGGTGCCCTGTCCCCAGGGGCCAGATTGTCCTCTGGCCACTGTGGCTCTGGAGGACTGAGGGGAGATTGTGTCGCACAGAAGCGGCGGCCTCTGGTGGTAAATAGGCTCCTTGTGTGGCGATGGTGTGGGCTGGGCCAGGGGTCACTCGCAAGCCCTAGAGCTCTGGCTTGACCCATTCACAGGAGGTTCCCCGAGTGAACCCCCCAGAGGATTGGGTCCTGGCTATGGGGCTGTGCCCATAGAGCAGACACTGTGTCAGGCAAAAGAGCAGGCTCCCAAGATTGAGTTTCTCAAGTGGGGTGGAGGAAACAGCGCCCACTTCAGTGTCCTGATCCCTTCTCAGAGGCACGAGATGGCGGCTCAGGAAGCCACTGGAGTGCTCGGAGGATCCCATTGGCCTGGGGCCTGGGTCAACTGCTGCTTGAGATTGCAGTCAGACCAGCCTGGCTGGATGTCTCACTTTGGGGACCTCCCCAGTGACACGCTGAGGCAGCCCTGGCAGGCCACTCACCTGATTGCATCATAACGCTGGAGGCCCTTGCCAGAGACTGCTGTGTCTCAGTAGAAAGAATTCTTCGCTTGCAGCTGGGGGGTGTCGAGAGCCAAACCCCACAACTGCCACTGGAGCAGGTCAGTTTGTGTTTGAGATAGGGTCTCCATGTGTTTATTACCTAGGCTAGTCTCAAACTCCCAGGCCCAAGTGACCCTCCTGCCTCAGCCTCCTCAGTAACTGGATCTGCAGATGTGCACCAAGGCACATCTACACTTCGTTTTCTTTTTTTTTTTTTTTTTATCAGTACTGGGGATTGAACTCACGACTGCCTGCTTACAAGTCAGGCGCTCATGCTGTTGAGCTAAATCCCCAGCCCCTACGCTTTGTTTTCTTGAGTGTCGCAAGGCGGGTGCGATAACCATGCAGCAAGCTTGCTCATGTGCTGATGCGAAGGCCTTGTGCAGACATAGAGGGCATTTTGATGGCTGGCCGAGGGTGACTGTGACATCCGGATGGAAGTATTTGTCAAATGGAAAACAGCAGCAATGATACATAAGCAGGACCTCCAAAAGGGAAAAAAAAAAAAAGATACATACACATAGTGGTGCACTCCTGTAATCTCAGCACTTAGGAGGCTGAGGCAGGAGTAGCATCGTGAGTTTGAGGCCAGCCTGGACTACAAAGTGAGACCCTCCCTTAAAAAAAAAAAAAACAGAAAAAAGAGAATGATACATGTTGATGAGACATTATTCTGAGCTGGCCTCTTTGCTGGAGCTCTGTGATCTTGTCTATTCTAGTACTTCAAGAAGCCAAAGCAAGCTAGCTGCATGGTCAGCCAGTTGTAAGGTAAGAGCTCCAGCTCTTAGCTGTCTCCAGGACATTGTCCCTTCCAAGTTGGGTAGATCCGTTTTAGTCCAGACCCCTGCATCCCTCACGTAGCTGAATATCGCTTATCCAAAGTGCTCAGGACCAGAAGTGTTTGGGTTTTTTCTTCAGATTTTGGATATTTACATATTCTATAATGAGCTGTCCTTTGGGATGGGACCTGAGTATAAACAATGAATTTGTTTGTTACATATACACCTTACAAATATGTATCACCTTGAAGGTAGTGACATAGGGTATTTTCGCTGTCTGTGTGTTTCGATGGTGACCCATAATGCAGAGTGTGGCACCTTGTTGCTCAGAAGGCTTGGGCTAGGGGTGTAGCCAAGTGGTACAATACACTGAGCATGGGTGAGGCCCTGGGCTCCGTCTCCAGTGCCCCCCCCACACACACACAGACACTCCTGACTTGGGACTTCTGAGGACTTCGGCTCTCCAATTAGGGAGGCACAGGCCTCTCCTGACCCTGGCCTGCTTTTCCCATTCAAGTCCATCCCATCCCACCCTCCAGTGTCCCCTCCCCTCGTCACAAGCGCCTGCCTCCGTGCCATGGCCCGGCAGCCTGACCACGATGCCCTTCCCGGGGGCATTGCTCTGTGGCCAGCTGGGTGTCTCCTTGCCCTTGGATAAGCCCCCGGTGACCATCACTTCTTTTTAATTTTTTTTTTTTTTTTTTTTTTTTGTCTTTTTCATTTTTATCGGTACCGGGGATTGAACTCACGACCACCTGCTTTTAAGGCAGGTGCTTATGCTACTGAGCTAAATCCCCAGCCTGACCATCACCTCTTGTAAGACACCTTTGTGACCATATACAGGCTCCACTGCCTTTGAAACCACCATTCCAGACCACTGGGGTTTGGCCACTAGGTTACCCTTTCCTGCCTCGGTTTCTCCATCCATGTAGTGGTAGCCACTGCATGGGTACAGCCTGGAAGGGTGACAGCTCTTGGCAGAGCTGGAAGGCTGTCTGTGGACACACGGGGTAGTGATGGGGGTGCTTTCCATAGGGGGATGAAGGTGATAGAGAACCGGGCCATGAAGGACGAGGAGAAGATGGAGATCCAGGAGCTGCAGCTCAAGGAGGCCAAGCACATCGCAGAGGAGGCTGACCGCAAATACGAGGAGGTGAGTGGGGTGGGGTGGGCGGAGGCCAGCAGTGGGATGTACAGGGAACGCAGCCACTGATAGGGAGGGCCCCTGAGGTGGCCTGGGGGGATCCCTGCTGGGTCAGCTGTCCATCGGGCATGGCTGTTTTTCCAGAGACACCTACTGGACCAAGAAGCTGGCTTGCTTGGTGCTGAAAGGCCCTGCTGCTTGTCTGACCTGGGGGAAGCCAGCTGAGCAGCACCCACAGTATCCTTCCGCTGGGTGCTGAGGCCCAGCTTGGCAAGCGCTGGTCCATGGGCACTTGGTCCGTAGTGCCACCTGTGTCCCTCTTCTGCCTCACTGCTGGGGCCTGAAAAGAAGACTTCTGGTCTTGATTCCCCCAGGCCCCTGGCTCTGAGCTGAGGGACCCACAGGAGGCGCCCTAGTGCCCATGGTGTGGAGGTGGCATTGCCAACTGCACAGGGATGGCGTCCGGCCAGCATGATGCTGGGTGGTGGGGGTCACTTTGGCTGGGCCTTCCCTGTCTCTGCAGGTGGCGCGTAAATTGGTCATCTTGGAGGGCGAGCTGGAGCGGGCAGAGGAGCGTGCGGAAGTGTCTGAACTGTGAGTGGCAGAACAGGACTGAGTGGGGCCCCAGCTCACTCCCAGGGCAGAGGAGAGTGAGGGTTGTGTCAGGAACTGACTGGCCAGTACCTCTGGTCAGCAGGGCAGATGGGTTGGGCGTGGTAACGTGTGCCCTGTTCCCAGCTCTCAGGAGGCTGAGACAGGAGGTTTGCCGGGAATTCTAGTGAGAACTACATGGTGAGACCCTGTCTCAAAAGAAAGAAAGTCCAAGTTGCCCAAGCTGGGCTCAAACTTGTGATTCTCCTGCTTCTGACACTGGAGCAGCCAGGATTACTGGCAAGCCCCCTCATGCCCGCCAGGCCAGGCCTGCTTAACCACCCAGCGGTCAGCTTGAGGCAGGCTGCCCTTTTGGTGTTGCAATGCCCTGCCCCGTGCAGTGCTGGGCCGTGACATTCCTGGGGGCATGGGGCGAGCTGGACCAGAATCCTACAAGCTCCGACAAACAAAACACCTCTTTCCTTGGTCTGGGATGAGGAATGCAGCTCCACAGAGCACCCCACAGTGCCAAAAGCGATCTGGTTTCACAGATCTGTGCCAGGACTGCTTCCTGGAGTGTCCGGTGTGAACTCTGCTTGCTGTCTGCTGGCCTCCTGTACTCGATCTCACTCCTACCCCTTCCGGACTCGGCCTCATCCATCACAAATTCCCCAGGTCCCTGCCGCCTCTCCCTTGGCAAGAGCCCAGGAGCACTCACGGACCTTCCAAGTGCTCTGGGCCTGCCTTGCCTCGGCCTGGTATGAGAGGGATTTGCTAAGTACACAACATGACATCTCAGAAAAACCCATTAACATTTTTCCCACATTCTTCTTGGAGGCCCCGGGCAGCAGCAGCTCCTTTTGCAGACTTTTTCCTTTAAGGGAACTGCCTGCTGTAAGGGGAGATAAGAGACACGGATCCTCTGTCTTTGTGCAGAAAATGTGGTGACCTGGAGGAAGAACTGAAGAATGTCACCAACAATTTGAAGTCGCTGGAGGCTGCATCTGAGAAGGTTGGTTGTTAGCTCCAGTGGCTGGGAGACCTGCTGAACTTTGTTCTTTCCTTCGGCCAGGTTACTCAGAACTCCCAGAGTATCAGGAATCTGACCCTGTTTGTTAACAGTAGTGCTGGTGCCCAGCAGCCAGGGCTTCCCCTATGTCCAGTTGCTGAATTTCTTACAAAGGCTCAGGCAACCTTTTCCATGGCATCTTAGGACCTTTCTTTTCAAATGTGTGACTGAACCTAGGACCTTACCCATGCTAGCATGTGCTCCACCACTGAGCTATAGCCTCCACCCATTTTTTGCACTTTGGAATTTTCTTTTTTCTTTTTGTTTTGTTTTTTTGTGTTTGTGTTTTTGTCCCAGACAGGGTTTCACTATGCAGTTCAGGCTGGTCTTGAACTCATAGCTATCTTCCTGCCTCAGCCTCCCTGGCATTACAGGCGTGCACCACCATGCCCAGCCCCACCCCTTTTAAGAGACTGGTTCTAAGTTCCCCAGACTAGTCTCAAACTTGTGGCTGTCTTGCCTCAACCTCCTGAGTTTACCGGTGTGATCCACCAGTCCTTTTAGCACCGTCTCATTGCTACTTCATAAGGATGGAGACACACTCTGAGCACACGGCCGGGCTCCTCTTAGGGCGCAGAACCTCACCTATAGCCCTCGGTTCTTCCAGAAATGCCTTCACAGGGCCAGAGCTGGCTTGCCAAGGTGAAGCAGTTACTCCAGGAAAGAACCACCTCAGGAACCACATCCACTCTTCCGTGGCCTCGCGAATTCTCCAGCTTCACACCCTCTTCTTTCTCCCTCACCATCACCAGGGGCACTGGAACTTGAGGCAGCCCGCATTTTTCATCACCTCAGTCTTTAATTTTTTGTTTCTTTGGCTGTTTGTTTGTTGGGTTTTTTTTTTTTTAAGGCAGAGTTGCATTGTGTATCCCAGGCAGGCCTCCAGCTTTTGGAGATCCTCCTGCTTCAGTCTCCCAAGTGCTGGTGTGCCCAGCCTTCTATCACCTCATTCTTTGCACCTACCATTCCCTCAGCTCGGTGTGTCCATCCCATGTCCCGTTGCTGAAGAACCATGTCCATTCTTCATGCCTCTGATGACCCTTCCCTCTTTCAGAGAGCATTCCCTGATTCCTCCTGCAGGAAAGGACCTTCCAAAGGCTCTCTGGGACAGACTCATCTGCCCTTCCTGTTATGATCGTATTTATTTTGGGTACTGGAAGCAGAACCTAGTGCTCATGTAGGCTGAGCAAGCGCACTCTGCCCCATCCCTGAGGCATTTATCATGACTGATGTCGTGCCTTATTGCCAGCAGCACGGAGCCTGATGCTCTTTGGGTCCAAGGATAAGGAATAAACAGACACTGTCCAGGAGTACATGTCAGAAGTAGCCCCAGGATGAGGCACCGTGATGCTCACACTGCTTCTACCCCTAATTACAGCCACAGTCTTGTCTAGTGGCCGAGACTGACAATAATAATGTGCTTTAGAATACAACACAGAGGGCTTGCAAAACCAGGAAGTATGTCATCAAGGTGACTTTTTTGAAAAGGGCTGGCAGAGTGGCTCAGAAGCAGGGTTTTTGTTTTGTTTTTTTTTTTTTAAGAAAACAGCCACCTATGTGATGATACGTGGAAGCACAAAATCCAAATACCAGGGTCTGGCTCCATGTTGTCATTAGAGCTTTGTCACATAAGAGCCATGTGAACCGAGACAAAGAACTGAGCCTTCCACTGTCCCTTTGCCGTCCAGCAGCAGGCATGGTGCCCATGGCAGGCAGCTTGCAGATGTCTGTGAGGGTGACCTGGGATGAGGCTTCAGAGACCAATGCACTATCTGACAGGTGGTCACGGGAACAGGGACAGGCTGTGCTGAGGAGCATGATCACGGACAAGGGCTGGAAGGTGGGAGGGCACCACAAGTGGCAGGCACCTTGGGAAGGGATGGCACAGCCTGGAAATCCGAGGCACTTGGCAACACTTAGCCACAGAGCCCCGAGTCAGTGCTTGGAATGTGCATCTCTAGGAACCAGCGCTCTGCTGCCTCGTGTGCTTTTTATTCCTTGATTTTTGTTTCATTTTCATTTTTGTGGCACTGGGAATTGAACTCAGATCCCAGGCTCGCTGGGCTGGCGGTATGCCACCGAGCTACGTCCCCACCCTCTTCCCTGTTCTAAAGGCATGTTCTGGTTTCTCCCACAGTATTCTGAGAAGGAAGATAAGTATGAAGAAGAAATCAAACTTCTGTCCGACAAACTGAAAGAGGTGAGTGGGTCACACCCAGCGGGTGAGTCACTTGGGCCGGGTAGTGGCAGCAGGGACCCCAGACCCAGGCACTGCCTCTCTCTCCAGGCGGAGACCCGTGCCGAATTCGCAGAGAGAACGGTTTCAAAGCTGGAAAAGTCCATTGACGACCTGGAAGGTACGGAAAGTGTGTCTGTGTGTCTGTCTGTCACCTCCCCTGGTATGGTAGTCGCGGGGTGGGGTGGGGTTGGGGCCCTGTGCAGGGGCAGAGTTGGGCTTTGTCCACCCGAGGAAAGTAGAATGCAGAGCAAGGAAGTCTGCAGAATTCCCCTCAGCTTGCTTATTTCAGAGATGCCCTGCACTGTTACGGGCTCTCTCCCCGGGAGCTGGGAGCTTATCACAGGGTGATAAAATGGACAGAGGCAATGTAGAGACGAGGAATTTAAGACGAGTCTGGTTGGTGCCCCATACAAGCCAGCATTTCCTGAAGTGTTCCAATTATAAACATTCTGCCCTGTGTTTTTCTTGATATAGTCCGGAAATTCCAGAAACTTGAGGTTAGGATGAAATCTCCCAGCCTGCCTGTCTCACCCAGAAAGGGTGCAAAACTCATTCCTTAGACCCTACGCTCTGTTTGCATTGGGAAGTAAAGCTTCCATATAAGGGAAGGTGCCCTAATTCCTAACTGCAGCCTTTGAATCAAGTGACAACATGGGAAGTCACAAATGATCGGGGCCAGGAGGGGGTGGAGGGAAGCTCTGGCCATTTCTGGTCACTATGCATTTAAAGGTTCATGGCAGCTAATGCCTGGCAGTGTCACAAACCACTCAGAATTTAGAATTCATTCCATGGATTTTTTTTTGTTTTCATTTGTTGTACATATAACACACTTTCTCCTAGTTCATGCTTTGGTTTCTTTTTTCTTTTCTTTTCTTTTCTTTTCTTTTCTTTTTTTTTTTTTTTTTTTTTTTTTTGAGACAGGGTCTGGCTATGTAGTGCAGGCTGGCCTTGAACTCACAGCGATCCTCCTGCCTCAGCCTCCCACGTGCTGATATGATAGGCGTGTGCCACCACACCTGGGTCTCACTCCGATTTCTTCCTCTGGTTGCTCATCTGTGACTCTCCATTCAGTGCTCCCTGTACCTGTCCTTCTCAACTCTCTCCCTGGGGACCTCCACCCTCTAGATGCAAGCTGTACACTCTGAAACTCAGGTACAAAGCTGTCATCCAGAAGCCATGCTCTCAACGACACGCAGCAACATGACCTCCCCGAGAGGCCATGGGGTGCTTCCCTAGGTGCCTTCTCCCTACGGTGCCTGCACTCCTGGGGGTTTCTGGGAATTTGTTTCCTGCCCTTTGGTTTGATCTATCAAGCCTTCTTCTGCTGTGTCCGTGACTGGCTGAAATTAAGACAAGCAGCCCCCATCGGCATACCCTCTCTCCTCTGTTCTGCTTGCTGCCTCTGACTGTGACTGGTACCAGAAGTGGATGACTAGCTTTCTCTCAAGGAGGCACTCGTTACAAAAGGGCTGCTCCTTGTCTGAAGACGTGAAGACAGAGCCAGTGTGGCATGAGCTGCTTCTCCGTGCCAGTAGCTTTTCCTTAAATAGACATTGCTTTCAGTGGAGATTCATCCTCCGGATCTCTTGGGCAGCTTCGTGAACTTGGCAGAACCTGTAGAGACCAGCAGGCCTGTGTCTCCAGTGAGGCTGCCCTTGAATGAAGTTTCAGGCTATGAATTCAATCAAATAAGGGCGAGAGTATTCTCCCCTCATTCCTTTCTCAGTTGTCCTCTCTGTTATACCCCAGAAGGGGCCAGGAGCTCCTAATATCGTCATTGCTTCTGGGACGTTCATCCAGCTCCTAGTCCTGGGAAGAAGTTACTAGGGAGATTCATCCACATACCCTGCCCTTAGAAAACTGCACAGGAATTTGAGAGAACATAGCAAAGGAAGGGAGTCAAAACTGTTATGATGTCAAAGCAGTAAGGTGATTTTTTTCTCCCCCTAAATTCCGGACACAAAAAAGTAGCTAGAGACATTTACCATTTAGCTCTTCACATTCACTGAGACTGTCTTTGGTTTAGTAAGAAAGCATAAAGTTGTCTGGTGGGTGTTCAAAATTCGTATGTAAAGTGACCCAAGACTCATGGATTTGTCCAACATAGTTGATATTTAAAATTTAAAATTCAAAATACTGAGTTTGTCCTGCAGCCCACCCAGCACCACTTCACATTTATCCCCAGAACACTGACATTTTGATGTACAAGTCTCATCTCCCAGACTACCCACCAAACTTGGAAATGGTATGAAATCTCCAATTAGATCAAATTTTGGTCACTATGTGAGCCGGGCATGGTGGCTCATGCCTGTAATCCCAGCACTCGGTATGCCTGTGCCTTGCTGATCACTTCCTAAGCCCTGTGATGGACATTTGTCCCATTTCCATCCCTCCTCTGTATCCCACAAGGTACTAAAGTTCTGAAATGTTCTGACCTGGCCCTGGAACACAGCTCCCCTAGCAGTAGACATGCAGTTCTCATGCAGACTGGTCAGACCATGGTCCGAGATGAGTCAGTCCTATGTTGGAAGCCAAGGACAATAGTGTCTGTTGGCCCCACTCCCACACAATGGAGGTTATTACCAGAATATCTTAGACTTCCTTGATCCCTGAACCCATGGAGACACACTTTTCCTGTGTGTCATAGTGTATTAAAACCAGGCACAGCATTAATGCATGGTGGGAAGATCATTGCAAGTTCGAGACCAGCTTGGGCTACAAAGTGAGCTCAAGGCCAGCCTGAACTGCATAGCGAGACCTCATTTCAAAAAAAAGACCAAAAAAAAATTTTTTTTGGTCACTATGTATTTTATTTTCTTACTTTATTTTGTTTTATTGAGACAGGATCTTGCAACATAGTTTAGAGTGACCTTAAACTCACTATGTAGTCAATGCTAACCTCAAAATCATGCCTCAGCCTCCCGAGTGCTGGGAATAAGTGTGTGCCACCACACCCAGCACCTTGTTTTTCATCATCCTGTGGTGATTGTTTTTTAATTCAGATGGGAAACTCTGTCCCAATTTTTTATTCATCCCCCCAAAATACATTTCCCCTAATCAACCCATACCTTTCCATGCCCAGCCTCTCTATCCCTGACGACCATATTTGCTGTAAGCTGTTGCATAAAGCACTGCCCACACTGCTTCACAGTTGCCCTTGGAATGACTGCTGCCTATCTAGGAGTTGGTTTCTGTTCTGGTTGTTCCTGGGTCTTTTTCCAGAAATCTGTAGCCTCCACCCTTTCAAATAACTATCCAGCCTGCCTTTCCAGTCATTCTACCTAGGCACCCAGATGGAACTTGATTTAGAGAGATTAGTACTGTGGAGTTGATAGTCTATGAGCCTGACACAATTCTTAAGGTCAGTTAACACTCTGAGCTGGAGTAACTTCGTCTCAGGTATAGTAACAAAATCTGTGCCAGAGAATCCAGATGACAAGCAAAAGTGAGTCTAGGATTTACAGTGAGACACCTGTACTGGAATCCTAGCAACCCTAAACAAGTCACTTAGCTTTTCGCAGAAATAAAAGTGTGAGCCTCAAAATTGAGGATGTGATGATGAGGTGATACAGCTCACAGCATTCCTGAACAGCTCTTCAGACTCCATAGCTACAGGTCACTTGGTTTTGTTTGCTTTTTGAGACAGGGTCTTACTGTGCACTTCATGCTTTGAACTCACTATGTAGCCCAAGCTGGCCTCGAATTTGTGCTGATCCCCCTGACTCAGCCTCTCAAATGCTGGGATTATATGCACAGTGACTTTACATAAATGCCTTCTTAATGAAAGGTTCCACAATTATAGCGGAAAGGCAGCCAACTTCTCCTGTTTTTGCATCTTTCTGAAAACTTCCAGGCTGACTGTAACATTTTATGAGGCATTTTGCTTTGCTTCAGTATTTTGATGACTCTTGGCCTAGTCCCTTATCTGCCATCCCTTACTGCAAACCAGTCCTCTCTCATGCCTCGTCATGGGGTTTTTGTGTGTTTGTGTTTGTTTTTAGTTTATCAGCTCAATCACTGAAATACATGCCTGAAAATATAGTCAGGCTGAATTTCAGCCATGTTACTTTTACCAGACACTGACCTGACTGCTGTTGATACACAAACATGATGACACAATTACGCCTGGAAAAGATGGGTTATGGGATCACATTTTCCTATCAAAAAGTCAGGGACTAATAACTGACATTAGGGAGAAATTTTATGGTCACCCATACTGCTACTACATTCTTAAATTTGTACAGTGTGTAGCACTTTGCATCTCCTAAAATATTTCACTTGTTCTTGATAGCATCCATGTTATACACTGATGGAATAGGAAAAATCACGACCTAGAAAAGTTAAATGGCACAATTAAGTGGCACAACTAGGGTTTAAACTCTAGGGTGGCAATATTATTTGTGGTTTATCTGAAATTCAGTTTAGCAAGGTACTCTTGTTTTATCTCACAGTGCTGACTTTATGTTTTGGTTCTTGGCCCCTATTATCCTGTCTTATTCTGCTGAAATTGAAATACTTTCTGTTATGACTTTCACTATGTCAGTATGGAAGTTTATCTTACAGACTTCTTTTTTCTTCTGTTTGGCAAAGATGCTTATTCACTTTTCCTGTCTCTCTTAATCCCTACCAGAAAAACTTGCCCAGGCCAAAGAAGAGAACGTGGGCTTACATCAGACACTGGATCAGACACTAAATGAACTTAACTGTATATAACCAGAAAAGGAGGAGTCCTGTTTGAACAGAAACTCCAGCGCTCCGTGTCTCTTTTTGCCTTGTAAGAAGTTTCTTTTGTTATTGCTTTGCTGGAAATGTCAAGCCGATTATGAATACATGACCAAATATTTTATATCAGACATGCTTTGGGCACCAGTTAAATCTAATCTCCCCCCCCCCCCTTTTTCTGAATGGCTTTTTCAGCTCTATTTTTACCCTTAAGTTGCATTTTATTCCTAAGGTAGGCAGGGTATTTCATATTGAGCGTATTCTCTTGAGACTGAGGTCTGCTTACTAGAATAGTCAAACCCACACTTTTAAGACACAGACTCTGATCTCTTGTAATGGGTTTAAAATGCTACAGAATGTAAACCCTGTGAGTCGCCACTGGCCGAGCAACAGGTTAGGGACCATCACATTAAAATGATGATTTTCCATCCAGAGCAAAAAAAATAAAAAGGGCTATTGTGGGAAGTCATAAACCACAGCTAGATTAACCTAGTATCCTGGCCATTTTCCATACTCAACTGCAGAACAAATATCCTCTCAGCCATCAGCACAAGAATGCCCGGGAAGTGGTCATAGTACTCAAGTCTTTTCTGAACACATCCTCAATGCTATGCTCTTCCACATACTTTATCCTCGTGTGGTTCTCTGGTGAGTGGTCCTCTTTAACGGTGGCCCATGCTTGTCTTTTCGGATGTAAGTCCACACATTCTGCAGGAAAGGTATTGAGTTGTGTCCAGCCCAGCCATATTCAGGACTGCTGGCCATCAATAAACTGAGCAAAAGAACTGCTTTCTATTAAAAATCTGGGCAACAAAGTAGAGATCAAAAAGTAATTGGTGTAGCTTCATCTCCGAACTTCAGGGACTGGCAAATGGAAGATTTTCTTATCTAGGACTTGAATACCTTCTTTGGGACCAAGTTAATAAAAGTTAAGAGACTCCTGATTAAACTGGATATGGAGAATTTTGTAGGCAGGGGCTGCACATCTTGGTTTTGCTGTAGTTTCACTTTCTCAGTTAACATCTCAGAGCTGAAACATTCCATATTGTCTGGCAGTGTGGGGGCCAACTCCAGTTTACAAATCTGACTAAATCACCCTGCTTCTAGCTTATGAGTCCCCTGCCCTTCACTCCTATTTATTAAGCATCACACTACCAGGAGATACACTAGCGAATTGTGCAACTGAATAAAATCCACTCTTTAGATTCTTGCGACTGTATCATATGTAATAGTATCACTTTTTCTACATTTTGGTCAAATAAATTTTTACAGAAACTACCACTTGTGTGAATTTTAAAATATGTAGGGATATCCAATGCATTTTGTTTCAACAAATGTTTATGGGATGCAATGAGAAAATAATTGTGCCAAGAACTTGCTAAACGTTACGTGTTTGCTTTGTCCCATGACTTCATGATGAAAAGATTATGATCTCCATATTGCAGACAAGAGCACTTGGCCTCAATAACTCAAAAGCCCCTGTCCCTTGTCTTCCCCAGTCCTGCCCGAGCCAAGCTGTGAAGAATAAATAGGATATTTTGATGGTAAGAACAAGGAAGATGGTCTTTACTGCCTGAGTTTGGGAAATGCCAGGCCTGCCTGGATAAGGGTGTGTGCTGTACATACAAAACAGAGTGGTGAATGAGGCTCAGGGGTAAAGTGCTTGCCTCACATGTATGAAGCCCTGGGTTGAATCCTGACCTAAAAAATAAGCAGAAGTGGAAAATGTGGAGGGTAGGGCTAGACAACCGCAGGAAGGTAAGCTGAAAATGTTTCAGTAATGAACACGAGGGAAGCACTGCTCTAAAAGAAATGATCTTAAATATGAGCTGGCTGGGTGATTGGGAGTTGCAGTTTCACTACTGGAATTGCTGATACTTGGCTTCAAGATCTTACCTTGCGAAGAGGAAGTAAAGAACCAGAAAGAGAAATGAAACCCTTTAAAATGTTAATGCAGTGTGCAAACAATTTCCTGTAATCAACTATTGTTAGACTTCCTGTTAATTCAGTGTGGAGCCAACAGTGTGGAGTTTATTCAGATAGCAGGTGCAGGGAATATCAAATCAAAGTATAACTCCTCTCCTCTAACTCCCCTACCACTTCTAGAATGAAGTTCCTCCTTTATGTACCTCTTTTCTCCTGCCTTCTCTCCTTGGGTTATATCTAATCTCAGGATAAAGTGTTAGTCATCCCTGTGCCTCAACACTTACTATAAGAAAGTGTGAGGGGCATTGTACACTAAAGATTTTTTTATCCTGCTGAGAGGTGACAAATAAACTACAGTGAGCACCATGCAGGGCAGCATTTAGGTTAGAGGAAGTAAGTGGTCAGGGAGACCAGTGGAGAAATGTGAAGATGGAAAAGCAAGAATCAAAAGCTACTTAGGAGCTCTGTAAGAAAAAGGATCAGAGAGATCACGGAGAGGTGTCCAACATTACTACCTCAGGCTTCACCATGAAAGGAGTTAGTAAGCCTGGACAGATGAGCTGAGCGGTAGACATGATGAGCTTGAACTATCTTTGCCAAATCCAAAGGCAAATGTCCACAAAGCAGGGAAACATGGAAAAATGCATAGCAAACAGCATCTGGGCACAGAGATGCTGGAAGCCACAGGCGTGAGGCCACCCGGGAAGTGAGAACAGAGAAGGGGAACCATGAGGAGGGGCACATTTACAGAAGGAACAGAAATCCCCAAAAGGTGGCAGAGGGTTCTAACAAGCCACTCTGCCAGGGTAAAATGAGGTGGGAGAAGAAACAGGCGTCTAAAACGGGCGGAATACTATGGAAAAGTAAATTTCCAGAGAAGGCAGCCAAGAGTACCACACCCTACAAAGGCTGAGGCAGGAAGTCGTCGAAAGCTCTGGCTGAAGGCAGGAGGGGAAGAGGCTGGCCGGCTTTCAGCCCACCTTTGCTGGCAGCCCAAAGCACCTGAGGAGCCTGAACGGGCACGTCTGTGAGGCCGGAACTGAGGCCATCACCCCTTGGCCGGTGAAGCCTGGCGATCTGAGTTGAAAAAAAAAACCAACTTCCCACTCCAGGACCTGAGTCACTTAACCTACAGACTCGGTCTTCTCTCCACCAAACAAGAAAGTAACCTACCTGGCTGGCCGTGGAGGGCCTAGTGCCTGTGTGCGCGGGCGGGGGCGTCGCGCTGAGCCACGTCCCCGGCCCTTCGGTTATTTTTTGAGGCAGGCACTTGCAAAGTCGCTCAGGCTAAGCTTGAACTTGAGAACCTCCTCAGAGGAGTGTAAGCACTCTGTTTTGTGAGGGAGTCGGGGGGGGGCACCTTCGGACACCGAGGGGGCGCCCCGAACATTAAGAACCTAGCACCTCCGGGGTCGAGGAGGCACCGACACCGCTCAAGGGGCGCGGACGGCCGGGCAGCCCCTCAGGACGCGGTCGGCGCCGGCGGCGAGCTCACTCCCCTGACGAGGCCAGGTGCAAGCACCGGGACCCTGCGGGCTGCTTTTGGCGCAAACGACTGCCCCTTCTCCCTAGTCCTCCGCGGCCCGACGCGGAAGCCCACACACAAGGGCGCGGCCGTCCTTCCCGCGCTCGCCCTTCCCGCTCTCGCTTCAACACCGTCTGCGACTGCTCCGACAGCGGGGCCGCGCCCAGAGACCCGCCCTCTACGCGTGTGCGCCCTCTGCCGAAACCAACCATTTTGCCAGCGCGCATGCGCCGACAAGCCAGCCCCTCAGAAAGCCGGTGGGCGGGGCAGTTGGCGGCAATCCCCGCCCTCACGCTCCCCTCTGGAGGTGGGGCGGGGTCGCCCCAGAGTTGGGGAAAAGAAGGCGGGGAGGACGGTACCACGCCCCCCTTCGTCCCCATTTTAAGCCCCCGACTCTTCAACACTGGCCAATCGCAGCCCGCCCCATCCCGAGCGCCGGCCAATAGGTAGTGTGCTCTGGCTGCTTCCGGCTTGGCGCCCAGATCGCCCTTTCCCCAAACCTCTGAGCGGCGGGCGGGACCCAGGAACGGGCGTCATCTCAGTGACGCGTCACGGGCCGCGGGCCAATGGGGGGCGGGTTCGGCGCTGATGGACGGGGTGGGCGGCCAGTGGCGAGGCAGCGGCCGCACTTCCCGTCTGGGAGAGAGTGTAATATGGCGAAGACCTACGATTACCTGTTCAAGCTGCTGCTCATCGGGGACTCGGGGGTGGGGAAGACCTGTGTCCTGTTCCGCTTCTCCGAGGACGCCTTCAACTCCACTTTTATCTCCACCATAGGTAGCGGGCTGGGGTTGGAGAGGGCGGAGGGGCTGTAGGAAGCGGGGCGGCCTCGCCGTGGGGACACCGAGGCCAGACCCGGGTGCCGGGGAGCGCGTGGCCCCGCCGGGGTCCAGCCGCCCGCGAAACCTTGCTTCCGGAGTCCCTGGTGTTCAGGAGCGGAAACCGAGGCCAGGGAGTGGGGGAACCTCAGCGAGCACCTCCTGTGTGCCTTCTGAGGTTTCGTGCTGGGGCGGGGTAGGAGCCCAGTTCCCAGGGTGGGATCTGAGACCCAGGGATGGGGGGACCTCCCCAAGGTCACAGCCTGCAGTGGCAAGGATAACAGGGGAACTCAGGTGTGTCTGACCCCAAAACTTGGGAGCTCGGCCATCCCAGAGAAACCCTGCCTTGTACCCGGCCCCGCCTCTGCTGCGCCTAACTCTGGAGTGCTGGGGACTGAGCCCCTCTCCTTCCCTGGCCCTGTCGCCTTCCCCCACGAGTAGCTTTTCCTCTAGAAGAATAGTGACAGCAAGGATGAGTGACAGTTACCCGCCCCAGGACATGTCATTCCGAGCAGAAGCGAGATAAAAGCCTCGGGGAGAAACTAAATCAGCTCCTGCCACAGGCAGCCTCGACTTCCCTATCTCAGGGCCCAGGACATCCTCCCTCCCTTTGCAGACAGCTTCTTCCCGCAGAACCAGCCCAGGAGCTGTCTGCGTTGCAGTTGGACAGAGTGGTGTATTTAGTCTCCCATCTTATGTCCACAGAAGCTCAGCCAACTTCTCTGGCCACAGAAACAGTCGCTGCCTGCAAGAAAAAGGTTGGAGAAGAACGGTCTAGAAGTGAGGCAGGGGGCCTCAAGAAAACCCAGGGAAGGGGGCTTCACTGCCCCTGTGTGATGTCCATGTCATCCGTCACTCTCAGTGGAGGCCCATGTGTCAATTCCTCCTTGTCCCCTTTTGGGACCTGTACTTAGTGAAACAATCTCATGTCCTGCGTACAGTAGGGGGGTCAGGATGGAAGTCGTTGTGACTGGTTCCGGAGAGAGGGAAGGGTGAGCATTGCTGTTCACCCTTGCACCTAGGCTGCCCCTCTCTGAGTCCTGTGTCTTCAGAGGCAGGAGCAGCGCTATCTGCCTGGGCTGGACACAGCATCCCAAAGGTCACACTTTGGGATGGTCCTGGAGTCCTCACCAACCAGGAAGTGGTGTCAGCTCCTGGCAGGCTGTGACTTGCTGTCAACCCAGACCTGAGTTCCTCATCCTTTGATGCATCTCTCCACCAGATACCAGTGGGATCAGTTCAGGGGTTGACCTTGGTTTGGTTTGCGATTCTTGGCCAGAAACCCACCCCAGCATTTCCAGGCACCAGGCAGGCCAGTCCCCCTCCTGTAACTTGGCCGAGGCCTGCTGGGCAGGTGGAGGCAACAGTTGAACCCAGGCATCCTTTCTCCAACCCAGCATTCTTCTCTTACTCCTGCAGCCCTCTGTTTTCTAGGAAAGTTGTTTTGTTGTTTTTGTAGTACCTGGAATCGAACTCAGGACCTCTCATTTGCCAGGCAGGCACTGTGTGGCTGAGCTATATCTCAGTCCTTGGAAAGTTTAATTCACCTTGACCTTGAAGTCACAGTTCAGCTCTGCAGAGCTGTCCTGGAGACCAGTCGGTTCACAGCCTGCCGGTGGCCACAGATCAAATTATCGCCACCAGCCTGGGTCCAGAGGGCTTGGGCCGGGCTCAGGGTGGGGACTGGGTGTGACTGTCTCCCCTGAGGTGCCTGTTACCCCAGGTCCACAGAACAGTAGTGGCTTCTGTGTCCCCTCTGTCTCCGAGGCTGTTTGCGGGGCTGCATCTATAAGCTCAGCCATTACTGTTTTAAACAGTTTCTTTAATGCCAAGCACAGACTTAACTGTTGTTCCCTCCTAAGTCCCTGTGATGATACCAACAGGGCATGTTTGTTTCTTTGAGTGTTCAGAGCTGCCGTGAGGTACCCAAAGTCCCCCACCTTACCACTTTCTGGAAGGAACTTCACATCTACACTTGGGAGTCCTTGGGAGGCCCCAGAACCATCCCTTTTCCATGTAGACCACTGTGTACAGCCCCAGTGTTTGTGCAGGACCAGGGGCACACAGGCAGCTCCCACCAATGTCCTGGGGAGGCCGCTGCAGGGAGAGCGTGGGCTTTAACTGCCTGGACATAGGTGCACTTGCAAGTCAGATAACTTGCAAGTCACCACTTAAATATACTGTCCAGCAACTTTCAGTAGAGTCACAGATTCACTCAGCATCCACCCCCAGCAGGGAACATTTCACATGTGTGGATGAGAACCACGGGGCCCTCTCTGCCCCAGGTTCCTCCTGCCTGTGGGCCTCCCAAGCTGGGTGTTTACAGTACGGCCTGGGTCTGTTAGCTGGCCACACAGTTTAGTTGTATTTATAGGTACTTGGAGGGGGATGTGGGGGAGCCGTGGGATGGGGGAGAGCTTCAAGGTCACCTGGGAGAGGAGGGTTAGAGATAGGAGAGATGCTGATGAGTCAGGAAGGCCTTTTAGGAGGTGACCTTTGAGCCAGCAGTTCAAGGGCAAGTAGGGCGGAGGCCAACTGCAGTGAAGGATGGGTGTGCTGGGGTGTAGCAGGAGAGGGTGGCATGTGTGCACAGTGCATTGTGGGTCACGGCCCTGTACTGGGGGTGGGGGGAGTATGGCCTGTGTGCCTAGTGTATTGTGGGTCAGGGTCCCATGACGGGGTGCAAAAAGGGACAGGAGAGGATGTGACCCATGTGCAGCTGTGCTCATGGTGGTGGGAAGTGCAGGCCTGTCCTGCACAGGCCTTTTGGGGTGGGCTACCAGCCTGCCCTGGGCAGTGAGGCCCCCTGGTGGTGACTGGGTGCAGAGCGAAGCCAGGGCACCACTGGGGCTCTGGCGGGCTGCCTTGCCCCGACACAGGGTCCTCCAGGTGCTTCAGCCGGGCCAGGTGTGCTGGACATCGAGGTGGCTGGACCTGTGCACATGCAGTGTAGGACATCGGTGGACACTATATGTTTTGCTTTTTCTTTAAGGAATTGACTTTAAAATTAGGACCATCGAGCTCGATGGCAAGAGGATCAAACTGCAGATTTGGTGAGTTTTGCCCTCTACTGGCCAGTGTGTCGGCCCAGCCGCCCCTTCCTGGGACAGCAGCTCCTGTGTCTGGGTGCCCAGCCATGGGCCAGCATTGGCCACATGTATCCGGATGCAGAGCAGCCCCGGGTATGGACTCAGGCAGTGCTCTGCCTGGTGGCCCTGAAGGCCATGGGGACCCCAAGATGCCTTGAGTGGAGTTGCTTTCTTAGCGGGCCTGTCTGATGTCACTTCTTCTTTTGTCCCTGGGAAGCCACACTTCCTGTGTTGTGAGACCTGTGCACCCTTACGCCCATAGTGTGTGCAGGCCACTGCCCATCCCCGAGTCTGACCTCAGCCCTGGAACCAACATCCATCCTAATACCCAGGCAGTTAGTCTCTAGTGCTGTGCTGGGCACAGTGGCACTCCCCGTCATCCCAGGTACTTGGGAGGCTGAGGTAGGACAATCACTGGTTCAAAGCCAGCCTGGGCAGTGTTGGGAGACCCAGCTTCAAGACAGAAAATAAAATAGGAAAGCTTTGCCTAGCACATGCCCCTCCCAGTGCTGCAGAGCTATTGTTTCCGAGTCCTGCAACATTTGGCAGTCAGCCAGCTTCCAAAGCCCACCAGGTGAGTCACCTGGTAAGTTTACCTCCAGCATGGTGGCCCCGATACAGCCTGTCTGTGCGCCTGAGTGCTTGTCAGGTGACCCAAGGTGGCACCGTCCTTCCCTCCTCTGCTGTCTACAGTCCTTAGACTGGGACCATGGCTGAGAGTGAAATGGCTGTGTGACCCCACATGTCACCTGTCGTAGGGGTCAGCAAGCCAGTCAGCACCGGACTGGACTGGGCAGTGGCAGTCTGAGGCATAGACGTGGCTTCATGGTGGCACTTCCCTCTCTTCACTGCTGCTTGGGAGGCTGAGGCAGGTGGATCATGAGTCTTCCCTGCTAGGCACTGGGCTGGGTGTGATTTGTCTCCCTCACACAACCCTATCAGATAGGCAAGGAAGGTTCTTCCTGTCCCAAACTCAGACACTGAGCCAGAAAACCCCCCACCCCCACACTGCTCTGGGCATGTCCAGCTTATCCACCACCCACGGGCCCCCATTTCCACGTGGACCCCTGCAGCTGCACCCCACAGACAGTGTTACCCTGCTGCCAGGGGCATGTTTCTCTGTGTGTCCTGGGAGCCCTGGGGTGACTGTTCGCCGCCAGCATCGCTAACCCCGCCCTCCTGATCATGTTCAGGGACACAGCCGGGCAGGAGCGGTTTCGGACGATCACAACGGCCTACTACCGGGGCGCCATGGTATGCACGTCTGACCTCATCCTTGCTGTGTTGGCATCGCTGCAGAGGGTCCTAGAGGCAGTGGACAGGGCTGCCCACACCCAGGCTGCCGGGACGCTTGGGGATATAGAAAGTGGGTCCAATTGGCCAGGAGCTAGTGGGGTTGGGGGGGGTCACCCAGTCCAGCCACATAAGGCCTGTGGATTCCACTCCTAGAGCTCAGTCCTCGGGAGCCTTTGTCACTGGGGCCTGAGGCAGTGACATCACTGGGAGACCATGCATTGCCCCAAGGCTGTTTTCCCAGCAGTTCTGGGCTGGGCCAAGCAGGGTGCAGGAAGCAGCCAGGGAGAGCACAGGCACCCCTGACACCTCTTCTCACCAGCCAGGGACTCTGGTGCCCTCCCAGCTCTGTCCCGTGATGGGACCTAGGGCCTCGAGCTGAGCTGGCTCCATCTGCAGCCCTTTTTTGTTTTCTGTTTTGAGGCAGGGTCTGACTGAGTTGCCCAACCTGGGTTCAAACTTGCAGTCCTCCTGCCTCAGCCTTCCAGAGTCCTGGGATCCCAGGCTGCACCACTACAGCCCCCTTGGGAGTGGCACTTCTACCCATTCATTCCAAGCACCTCCACTACCCGGTCTCTGGAGCTCACCTGCCCAGCTCAGCTGCAAGCCCAGTCCCAGACCTGGGTGTCTGGGTGCCTATGGCAGCGACTGGGCGAAGCCAAATGAAACTATTAAGTATTCAGGAGCCCGACCGTACAGACTGCATCCTGAGCTCCCATACCCTGACATGCCAGGGGAGACTGCTTGTACTCTGTAGATACCATCCCGTCCTCTCAACCTTAGCCCACACTGTCTCCTCAAACCTGGCTGTGTTATCCACCTTGATGCCCTCATTGTCCCTCTGTGGCTGGGAGCTGAGGCTCCGGCCCAATGCCCACATCCTCAGCCAGTGCCAAAGTGGGGCACTGCTGGTCGGGCAGCAGTCACTACCGTGAGACCTTCCCAGTTTATATCAATGAAAATTCTAGCTGGGTCTGGTAACACACACTGTCATCCCAGCTATGCAGGAAGCTGAGGCAGGCAAATCAAAATTTCAAGCCCAACCAGGGCAATATATTGAAAACCCATCTCAAAACATGAAAAGAGGGGGAATGTAGCAGTGGGGTAGCATCTGCCAGGCAAGGGCAAGGTCCCAAGTTTGATTCCTGGTACCAAAAAGAGAAAAAGAAATGTTTGAACTAGGCATAGTAGCACATGCCTATCATCCCAGCACTGGGAGACTTGAGGCAGGAAGATCATTGCAAGTTCCAGACCTTCCTGGGCTACAAAGTGAGCCCAAGGCCAGCCTGAACTGCATAGCAAAACCCTGTCTCAAAAAGACAGGAAAAAAAACTGGGGTATACCTTAGGGCTCCCTGAGTCCAACCCCAGTACCTCAAAAAAAATTGAAAACCCAGCCAGCCCTCAGGCTGGCACAGTCGGGTGCCCTGCAGCTGATGTGGTCAGTGGCAGCAGGCAGGTGGGACAGTGAGGCTGCAACCATCCTCACCGGGGTCACTGCCACCATGGCATGGCCCAGGCCCCTGGGTGCAGAAAGCCCAGCTTTGTGTCCCCAGCTAAACCCGATCCCCGGGGTGTTCCCAGGAGGACCCAGGACAGGGCGACCAGCGTCTTTCTGGTGGTCCCCAGGGGATCCCTCGTCCTCACAGGTCAGAGCCACGGACCCAAAGCTCTGGGAGTCCTGGGCTGGGGGAATCAGCACTGAGCCTCCTGTCACCCCTGGGGTGGCTTCACACCCGGGGCTTCTGATAGCATCAGCCTCCCAGGGGTGCAGGGCAGTGACTTGCTGCTGCAGGAGCTGGTGGACGAGTTGGGGATGGGACAGAAGGGCCTATGGTAGCAGGGCCCAGGGACACGGTGTGCAGGGCAGGGGTGGCAGGCAGGACATGACCAGCTTGCTGCTGGTCCTACATGGAAGGGAGGGAAAGGGTGGGTGGCTGGAAGGTGTCCCCATGGTGAGGTGCTGCTATTGTCCTCCGTACCTGGGAAAGATGACCTATCACGAACGGAGTCCACTATTTCACACAGGGTATCATGCTGGTCTATGACATCACCAACGAGAAGTCCTTCGACAACATCCGGAACTGGATCCGGAACATCGAGGAGGTGAGGCAGCCCTGCGCCCCCCTCCCTGTCCTCAGACGCCATGCCAGGGCCCAGAGCCCGGGGACAGGAGAAGCTCTGATGAGAAGGTTTTGGAAGCAATGCGGTCCATCTGGAGGGGAGGGGGTGACCTGAACTGTGAGCTACAGCCCGGTTGGGGGACTGGGAGTGGCTGTGGAGGGCACAGAGCAGCCGGCCCCACCTCCTCAGCACAGCTTGGTCCTGTGCCCCAAAAGGCTGGCCTCGCTTCAGCTTCCTGGGCAGCAGCAACTGGGCTTTGGTGCCAGACAGGCAGGGCCCCAGGACTTTAACCCGAGCACTGACAGCCACACCTCCCTGACCCCCGGGCTTTAGCCAGATCACTTGGGAGTCACCTTGGCTGAGAGAGGGTTCTGGTGACCCAGGTGCAGGCAGGCAGAGAGCCATATTGAAGCTGAGAACTGAGCTTGGGGTGGGGGCATCCTAGGAACAGCAGAGGGGCCCCAGCTGCCTGGCAGCTGCAGAACTACCTCATTCCTAGGGTGGCGAGGCTGCAGGCTTCTGATCTCAGCCTGGGCCCAGCCATGCGGTGACCCAGCCCCTCCCCCTCCCGGTGTAGCATGCCTCTGCTGACGTGGAGAAGATGGTCTTGGGGAACAAGTGCGACGTGAATGACAAGAGACAAGTGTCCAAGGAGCGGGGCGAGAAGGTGGGCACGAGCTGTGCAGGCCGAGGTTGGGGTCCTCCTTGATCTTTATTTTTCCAGTACTGGGGTTGAAGCCCTGGGCCCCGCACTGAGCCAAGTCCCTGTCCCTTTGGGGTCTCACTTGATTGCTCAGGCTGAGCTTAGCCAGGAGATCTTCCTGCCTCAGCCTCCCAGGGAGCTGGGCTGATGATCTGAGCCACACTGCCCAGCCAGTGCCTGGCTGCAGTCCCCTCTGTGCTGCCCCCTCAGCGGCTGCTTCATCCACAGGCCCTGCCCGTGTCCCCTTCCCCATAAGAACCCAGGGAGCAGTGGGCCCACAGCCCAGGGGGCCCTGACCAGTTGCTGGCACTAAGCTGGCCCCACCTGCCACTGCTGGCACCCAGGGCACTCACATCCTGGGCGCAGTAGCTCAGTGTGCTTCCCTGTCCCTTACAGCTGGCCCTTGACTATGGAATCAAGTTCATGGAGACCAGCGCCAAGGCCAACATCAACGTGGAGAATGTGAGTCAGCCTGGCCAATTCTAGGTGCCCAGGGTCCCTGTCCTCCCTGAGGCTGTACCAGCCCTGGGCTGCAGCCTTCAACATGCCCTCTCCTGGCTCCCTGGCTCCCAGGACCCTGAACTCTGCTCCTCCGGGCCAGGCCCACACCTGCTCGGCTCTCTGTGTCCCACCGGGATGCAGGGCCAAGGGTCAGTGGTTCAGTGCCACCCAGTGAAGGTTCCTCTGGGGACCAAGCTGGGCAGTGCCCCCATTGGCCATGGTGCCTTCGCACAAGGTACTGGGGCTGCCCCTGCCAGGGCGCTGGCATGCAAGTGGCCACTGCACAGCTCCCAGGGTCACCAGGTAGGCAGAGGCATAAAGGGTGGGGCCAAGTGGGAGCCCATGCAGGGTGCTATCCACATACACACACACACCCGCTGACACTGAGGGCCACACCACCTCCTGCAGGGGCTGTGACACCACGCTCTTCCCACAGGCATTTTTCACTCTCGCCAGAGATATCAAAGCAAAAATGGACAAAAAATTGGTGAGTATGAGCCTCCCTGCTGTGCACAGCACTACTGGGCCAGCATCTGTGGTGTGGCAGAGGCCACTTCCAGGCCCTGGGGACCTGGCCAGGAGGAGCAGGGTTTGGGATGCAGTCTAGGTCTGTACCCAGCTGTGCAAGTCAGGCATGGCCTCCATGCTTGGGGCAAGGCCCCGAGGCCACTCTGCTGCTGTGACCGTGAGTGGCATGAAATAGATCAGCTCAGCTCTATGTCAGCATTGGATTCGGGGGCTTCTTGCCGCATGGTGACATAGTGTGGGGACTCTTAGAGAACCCACTACTTGGGGCAGTGCTGACCTCATCTGTCCTGGTCACCTCCCAAAGCCCAGCTCCAAAGAACCATCGATAGGGCAGCACTCGGGGGCTAAAGCAGGAGATTGCCTTGAGTTCCAGGGTGGCCTGGGCTACAGTAAGACAATGACTCAAACCCACTTGGGATTAACACACGGCTTTAGGGAGGGCGTTTCCAGCACACGAGTTCTGTGGGCCCAGGATGCAAGTGTGGGGGAGGATGGCTTCGTCCCTGTGGCCTCACCGCCCTCAGGACTCACAGCAGCTGCCAGCCCCATCTGTGTCGTCAGATTTTCTTTTCTCTAATGTGGGCACTGAACCCAGCACCTTGGCCAGAGCTCCGTCCTCAGCTCTTTGTAAACAGCTTTCATTCTGAAATGGTCTCAATGCAGTTGCTAAGCTGCCCAGGCTGGGCTTAAACTTGGGCTCCTCCTACCTCAGTCTCCGTGAGTGCCGCAATGACAGCGTGTACCCCTGCATCCAGCCTTGCTGTCCTCATAAGCACAGCTGTCAGGAAGCCCACAACTCCGTCTGTGGTGGCCGAGCCCCAGGTTTCTGGGAGCTCTCGTGACCAAATTGGCGAGTCTCAGATCCTGGGCTCCAGGTGAGGGTGCTACAGCCTTGACAGAGCCAGGCATGGGCCTGTCCCTCGGGACGTCACCACACCCAAGGTCCTGTGCACCTCTGCCTGTGGCCCTGGCTGTCCTCCACCTGCTTGGGACACAAATGCTCTCGGGCCCCGGGTGCTGGGTTATTTTAACCTTGGACTCAGAGAAGGCACAGATAGTGCCGGGTGCTACCAAACGCATATGTTTTCCTCACTCTAAGACACAGGGACTGTGGCTGGGGGTGCTGAGGGCTGTGGGGTCGGGCTGGGGGGCAGCTCTACCAGGGAAGAAGCACCCTGGGGCCACTATTCTGCCCTCGGCTGCATGGCATCTTCTCGGCACCGGTCAGGGGTCCAGACCTCCTAGTGCACAACCTGCTTTGTACAGAGCCGTGCAGGGCCGCCTCCCCTTGGCAGTTTCCCCCCAGGGCTGTGGCCTGTGTGTCTGGGGCGCATCTGTCCCCTCAGGGGTGCCGACTGCTGGCACAGAGGCCCAGACCTTGGCAGGGCACACATGGGAGTGGCGAGGTCAAGCCAGGGCCAGGATGCAGAGACGGGGGAGAATTGGCCAGGAATTCTGCTCCTCGGCTGGCTCTAGGGCCGCACTGAGAGGGTGGATGGGGGAGGGGGGAGGAGGGGGCCCAGGCCCGGAGCAGATGCTGGGGCGGATGACTGGTGGGAAGGGGCAGCTGGAGGTGGGTAGACAGCTGCTGGGTGGGTGAGTGAGGGGTACGCTGATGGATGATGTGGGCTGGGGGTGAACAGGGGACTGGGTGGGCAGCTGGGTGGGGTGGGCAGCCAGGTAGTCACTTGCGCATCTGGCTCCCTGGTAACTTGAGAAAATCCCTGTGACCCCAGGAAGGCAACAGCCCACAGGGCAGCAGCCAGGGGGTGAAGATCACGCCAGACCCACAGAAGCGGAGTTCCTTCTTCCGCTGCATCCTCCTGTGAGGGCGCCCACGAGCCTGGCTCACTGAGCTGACTGTGCCTGACCCGGGCCTGCATCCAGCAGACCTTCGAGCCACACCAGAGGCCCATGCCACCAGACCTCCACGAGAAACTGTCTATTTTAGTAACCGTCTGATCCTTTCAACTCGGAGATGGAAAGAATTAAGAATCTGCTATTTTCCTGTAACCTCCGACCTCGGGCCCACAGGCGACATCTCGTGGCAGAGAACACCGGCCGAGGCAGGTGGCAGAGTCCATGGGATGCCCAGCCCTGGCCAGAAGTGCCACCGCAAGCCTGGTGTCGGCCGCCACCAACTCTCGGTTTTGGACAAATGACAATTACATTCCTCCCCCTAACTGTTAAACCAAAGGGAAGCACAGTAAAGACATCCGCTCACTGCGGTCAGGACAGGCCCTAGGCGGCTCCGCTGGCCCCTCAGTGAGGGGACACCGGCAACAGGTGCCCTGTCCCCGACACCGCATGGGACCTTCTTTCTAGCTGAGATTTTATTTTTCCAGAGTCGATTGCCAGCAAGCAACACCACTCCTGCTGCCCACCTGGAGGCAGAGCCAGCCAGCCGGGCTGCGTATCCCCACCTGACATGGGTACCAGTGGCCACCCATGGTCTGTGCAGCTGTCGCTGGCTCTCCTGGGCCAGGAGTGATGGCCCAGCCTGGCTAGAGAGGCTGCAGTTCAGAACAGGCTGTCACCCGGTGCCTGCTCTCACCTTGGCCCCTGCCCTAGGCACTATCAGCCAGTCCTTGTGTCACAGCCCCCACTCCCGCTTCCCAGCTGAAACTCACCTGGCCACTGGCTATCCTGTGTCTCTAACTTGCCCTGTCTGCGCCCAGACCTGCACCTACGGAGAGCAAAAGATTAAAGCTCATTTTAAAGCTCACAGGTCTGATGTCCATGTCCCGCTCCAAGGCCAGAGCTGAGTGCGAGGCAGTGGGCATCTCAGTACTTGGGAGGCTGAGGCAGGAAGGTCCCATAAGGTCAAAACCAGCCTGGGCTACCTAGGGAAAACCTGTCCCCTTCCAAATAAAAATAACCCAGAGAGACACCCTTCCTGCCTTTCCTGCCAGATGCAGTGCATACATCTGTTGAGTTCCAGCTGTTCTGGAGGCTGAGGCAGGAGAGTCATGAGTTTGAACACAGCCTGAATGACTGAGCAGCATAGTGAGACTATAGCAACATTTCAGGTAGGGTCTGGGCATGGAAGTGAGGCTAGTGCACCCCAGGTTCCTTCCCTGTGCCAAGTAGAAATCAAGGAGAGGTAGGCATGATAAAAGCCCTGGAATCCATTGTGCAGGGGCTGAGCCAGAGGGCTGCAGGTGCCAGCTGTTCAGGGCTGGCCTGGCAATACAGTGAGGCTCTTCCCTGGCTCAAAAATAATATTCTAGTGGTATGTGCCAATAATCCCAGCACCCTTGGAAGCTGAGGCAGGAAGATCTCAAGGCCAGCCTGAGCAATCAAGCCACTGTCTCAAAAAATAAAGGCAGGAATGGGTCACAGAGTGGCTTCAGCCCTGGCGCTGGTAAAGGAGGAAGTGGAGAGGTTGCTTTTGTCACACCTTCGTGGGGAGCCAGCCACCCCCTTTCCCCCTCCACCCCGTGTAGCTCAGCACTGCCCATCCCTGCATGCCTAGGGGCCTCTGCTCAGTCCCTGCCACCTGCACAGCCAAGCCACACACTCAGTCCCCTGGCTGCACCTGGGGTATTGCATGGCTGTCACCACTTGGGTGCCCAGGACAGTGGGCTTCCCGGTCCCACAGCAACATGTGGCTACCCTGCATGGGCCTTATTCTCACTGCCAGGGTGGCTCCCACTCCCTCCCCCAGCAGGACAGTTAGGAGGAAGAAAGGTTCCAATCAGGAAAGGTGCTGCAATGCCCGGATCCCAGCACTCAGTAGGCTGAGGCAGGAGGAGCACTGTGTTGAGCCCACTATAGGCTACACAGAAAGACCTAGTATCAGAAAATAGTAAAGGATAAAGGAGGAAAAGGGAAGAGAAGGAAAAGCAGAGGAGGAAGGAAGAAAGTAGTTTTCTCCAGCCTGCAGTGCCAGGCTGAAGGCTGAGGACCAGGCAGCTACAGGGCGCAGGAGGTAGCCACAGCCTGGGAGCTGCCCTGGGCTCAGGCGCCACCACTTGTCACCTCCCTACTGCTCACCTTTTGAGGGCCAGCAGGACGCATCCTCACACATCTGGTCGACTACTCGAGCTGTCCAGGGGGCTTCCAGATCCAAGCTACCATGAGACCTCCCCCGTAGCACGAAAAGCATCATAAATCCAAACTATCCTATCAAAAACACTGAAGGCTGTGATGTCAGCACTTGAGCAGCTGAGACAGGAGGATCTCCAAAAGTTCAAGACCAGCCTGGAAACACAGCAAGGTCCTGTCTCAGAACACAAATACACTCAACAAATCACCTAAACCACCAAACACAATTTAGCATAGCCGAACTGGCGATCCTCCTGCCTCAGCCTCCCATGTGCTGGAATAACAAGCATGCACCACCACGCCCTGCTTGTGTTTTTATTTTTATTAGCACATTTGCAGTAGTAATGGCCGCCTTCCTTGTGGGGGGTGGGACAGGTGCATAACACGTTTTAATTTTTCCCCCTCCCTTCCCTGCCTTTCCTCCATGTCTTGGTCTTTTTCCCATTTGCAAGATTCATCTCCCTACTTCCTGTCACCTTTTATTTCGCTCTTTATTTATACTTTGGATTCCTTCTATAAGAGAAGCCATGCAATGTTTAAATTCATGGGTGTGATATTATTTCACTTAACATCACGGACTAAAAGGTGCATCTATTTTCCTACACAGGACTTAAGTTCATCCTTGTTCGTGGCACTGTAGTATTCCACTGTGCTGTGTGCAAATAACCACAGTAGCGTTGCCAGACTTCTCCCTAAGCATCAGTGCCCAAGGCTGGGCGCAGACTCTGAAGGAGCCTGCGATGCACCGAGGTTTTGGACACTGAGAGGCACACTGTAAGGGCCACGCATGCGCAGTCATGAATCGGCATGCTCCTGGGCTGAGGGCCTCCCAGTTCTCGCCACCACTGCGTCCCCAGATACCCCCGGCCAGGTCCTGAAGCCTCATGGATGCCCTGGCATCTGCTCTAGCGATGGCAGTGGCCCCTGCGGGAACGCTGAACCACACCGTGCTGCGCATGCGCACATAGATTCAGAACAGTCACTTAAGGGCTGGCGTTATCGCTGGTCCCCAGCGCCTGTCCTCCCTGCCCCCACCCTCGGGCACCCTGCTTTCACAGCAGTGGTCACACAGCGCATGGCCTCCGTGTCGTTGCTGTCACTTGGTGTCGCAGTAGCAAGGTCCCTCCACACTGTGGCCCAGGTCACTGCCTCGTTCCTCTTCTTTTCGTGGCTGAATAATATTCCACTGTGCAGTGGGCATGGTGGTACACGCCGGTCACTCAGGTGAGGCTGAGGCAGGAGGATCACCCCAAGTTCAAGGCCAGTCTGGACCACACAGCCAGACACCACTGTAGGGTGCCCAAGCTGGGGAAGGTGCAGCTGTATCTATCTGCAAAGGCTCCTGAGCAAAAGCTTGGTTCCTGTGCACTGGTGCAAGGCGGCCTGGTGGTCGCACACGGGTCAGCGCTGCTCTTGGGCACAGGTCACAGACAAGGTTTCTCGGCTTTAGGGTGCTGGCCCGAGGGTCACTTGGGCCAGCGCCTCCCCCTCCCCAGGAAAGCCCACATGGGGCCTTGGCATCCTCCAGAGGAAGCCGGCTGCCCCATCTGGCAGAGCAGGGCCATGTCCCCCGCACCCCACTTCCTTCTGCTGCCAACCCATGCACACACCAAGCAACATCCTCCCTCAGTGGCCGTGGTTGGCTTGCCCAGGCGAGAGGCTGCGTGACTGTCACACCCTCCCAAGGCAGGGACTGAGCCACCAAGGCTGCCCTCCCCAGGAGCGGGGTCCCCCACGTTCCCAGGATGCTGAGCCCCCTGGCAGGAAGGGCCCTGCTGCGGCAGCTGTCAGGGAGACAAGGGTCGAGCTGTCTCAGCCCCTGCCTACTGCATGGTGCCCAAGAGAGCCCCGTCAGGTGGCAGCGGGCCCTCTCCTGGCCTCGTCCTCTTCGGCAGCACCAGAGCCTCCGCTCGGGGCTGCACCCTTCCCTTCTTGTTTATCATTCAAGGCGGCTTCCCTGGATCCCTAAATTGAAACTTGGGATCCTCCTGCCTCAGCCTCCCAGAGTGCCAGGATCACAAGTGTGGTCCCTGGGGTGCCCACTTCTTATCAGCTCAGGTGACAAAGGATGATGCCTATTCTGCTGGAGCCGGGAGTGGGGAAATTGAGGCTCGGAGACAATGAGCACTCCATCCAGCAAGGCCACCAAGCTGTGTCTGCATGTCCCTTGCTGGAGTCCCATGCTTTGCCCCTCCCCCAGGGCAAGACACCCCTCTGTGGCACAGCTGCACAGGAAGCCTCCTGCACCTGCCTGGGAGAGGGGGTGCTGCTGAGTCCCTGAGAGGCCCCGCCTCAGGCTTCCGGCTGTTTTCTTTCTTTCCTTTTTTTTTTTTTTTTTTTTTGTCTTTTTGAGACAGGGTCTCGCTGTGCAGTTCAGGCTGGCCTTGAGCTCACTTTGTAGCCCAGGCTGGCTTCGAATTCTCAGTGACCCTCCTGCCTCAGCCTCCGGAGTGCTCCAATGGCAGGCATGTGTCACCGCACATGGCTCCGTCTGCTTCAAAACTGGAAGAAATCAGGACCCAGACCAAGCAGCTGTCCTGGGTCCTCACCCGCCTGTGCCTCCTCCAGGCCTGCGCCATCCCCTGACTGTGGGTCCCCTCGGGCCCTAGGTGGCCTCTGTCATTTATGGGTGTCCCACGGCTGCCACTCCTCCTGGAGCCACCCAGGTGGCGGAGGCAGCTTCCGAGACTGCTCCGTCCCCTGTCGCTGGATGGGATGGGCCTGGGCCTCTCACTGCAGGTGTGTGTCCCGCTGTCCCTATGTCCCTCCTAGCCGCATGGCGTGGGCCGGTACCTCTTGCCTTCGAGGAAGCAGGAACAGTGGAGCAGCGCCACCCCAGGCGGGCGACGGTGACAGTGACTTTGACAGTGACGCACAGACCCTGAACTGAAACCCAGCTCCTGCAGTGCAGCCATCACCGGACCCAGACGGCTCTTCCCAGGTACAGGTCCCCCAGCCCACCCTGGCCCCCAGAAGCAGGCGGGACAGGGCTGGGGGAACGAGGCGTGGGGATGGGGCTGGGGCTGGGGGTGAGGCGGAGACCCCGACTCAGAAAGTTTAGAAAGAAAACAGCGATGGGGGAGGGGACAGGTGACCGGATCTGACCAACACATGCTCACCCGCTACCCATCGAGTCACCATGATGCCCATCACTAGTGACCCTGTGGTGACTGCCCACTACTAGTCATCAGCTACTGGTTACCCTCACGAGTCACCCATTGTTAGTTACCACCTCTGGTTGCTCACCCCTAGCTATCAATTACCCACTGCTGGTTACCATTGTTAGCTATGAACTACTAGTTACCATCACTAGTTATCACTGCCAGTCATCCATTGCTGGTTATCCCCATGAGTTAGCCAACTAGTTACCCGTTATTAACTACTTGTTACTGGTCGTGCACCCACCCATCCTAAACTGTGCCCAGCCAGCCCAAGGATCCTGGGATCAGGGTTGGGAGTCCAGCCCTGGCCAGGGTCCCACCATGCCCCCTTCCATAGTGGACAACAGACAGGACACTGCACTCGATGGCATCATGTCTGGGCTAGAGGGAGCAACAGAAGGGACGGTCAGGGATAGAAGAAAGTGCCAGGGCTTTGTCTGGGGAGAGGCAGGGAAGCTGCCTGGTGGAAGGGACATTTGTACTGGGCCTTGAAGGATCCATAGGAGTTTTCCAAGGTGTGGGGAGAAAGAATAAGCTTGCGAACATGTTCCCGGGGCAGCCACGAGTAGGCTTCCTGTGAACCATAGGCCAAGGAGGAAATAGAAAGGCAAGTTGCTGAGCGACAGGGATACGCTGAGAAATGTCAGTGGGTGATCCTCACCATGCCAGTATGACAGTGGGCACTGCACACACTGAGGCAGACCAGCCTGTGAACACAGGCCAACCTGCTAGGGCATTGCTGCCAGACCCCTGTGTGGCAGCTGTACAGGGATGGAAACCCAATGGCACTGGGGTATAGGTCCAGTCCTGGGGCACAGGGTGCAAGTCTTCGGTGAGCACTGGACTCCACCTGGAGGCCCTGGCTCATCCCCAGCACCCATCCCCCAGAACCAAAGCAGACCCCTATGGTGATGTCACTCACTGTCCCGGACCTGCAGCTGGGGTCCAGGCAGGGGACCGGACCAGGTCACGGGGCAGTGGTGCAGGGCTCCGGCTGGGTTCCCTATCTGCACCCAGGGCCCAGTCCCCAGGGGCCCCAGCCTGGGCATGGCAGGGTCAGTGCCTGGCATTTTATGGAACAGGTCCAGTGTCTGCTTACCGGGCTAGGCTAGAATCCTCGAAGCCCTGGCCTAGGGCTTGCTCCTCGCCCCCAGAGTCCATCCTAACTGCTGTTTGTCACTGTGTCCCCCGCTCGGGGGCACCTGGAAAGAAGGCTCTGGAGGAATGCGGAGGGGCAGGGCTGGCACGGAGCCCGATGTGCGGTGGCCACGCCTGTCCTCTCAGCACTCTGAGAGGCTGAGACAGGAGGATGCCAGCTCCAATCCAGCCCGGGCGGTTTAGTGACTCAGTGAGACTCAGTCTCAGCATAAACAAGAAAAGGGTTGTGGTGCACCCAGCCCCAGGCCCCATACTGCGCAGAAGAGGAAGAAGCGGCTCTCAACAGGCCAGGCTCCCCTCTTCCTCCGCAGGTGCCTTCGAACCCGGAAGCCATGGCACAGTCTGAGAGGCTGCCCCCGCCATTGCCCCCTCGCCTGGACTGGTTCGTGCACACCCAGATGGGCCCGCTGGCCCAGGACGGCGTCCCCGAGTGGTTCCACGGCGCCATATCGCGAGGGTGAGGGCGCCCCCAGCTCTCTCCAGGTCTCCGTAGGGCAGGGCAGCACTGCGGATGCACATTGACCCCACCCTTTCCTCTGCCTGCCGCTGTGTGGCCCGTACTTCCTCTGTTTTTTCTTTTATTTTCCTGGCAGCCTGGGGCCAGAACCCAAGGCCTCATGCATACTGCGTGGGCATTTACCACCAAACTACATCCCAACCCATAGAAGTTGTTTTGTCTCAGGACAGGGTCTTATTAAGATGCTTAGGTGGCACTGAATTTGCAAGTCCTCCTGCCTCAGCCTCCAGAACTGGGATTACAGGCGTGCATCACCATGCCATGCAAGAAGGATCATTTTTTTTTTTTTTTTTTTTTTTACCATGTTCAAAGAATGCTGCCAAGGCCAGAAAGAGGGGCACAGGCACTGTTTCACAGCTCTGGGGCTGCGTTGTGGAAGAGAAATAGGACGTGAGCCACCTACGACAATTTTAAACATTCCAGGAGCTACGCTAAGGAAGTACAAAGCCCAGACATGGGGTGCCAGCCTGTGACCAGCCCCACTGGAGGCTGAGGCAGGAGGGTTGCAAGCCTGAGCCATGTAACAACTTGGTGACACCTTGTCTCAGAACAGAACATAAAACATGGCTGAGATGCAGCTCAGAGTGAAGGCCCTAGGTTCCATCCCAGCACACACACATGAGCAGCACGTCCCCCAGGAAGACTGTGACTTCCCCTGGAGGAGGCCGAGGACAGGACAGGGACAGATACCTTCCTGCAGCCACACAGCAGAGGAGCTGTGGTTTGGGACCCAAGGTGTCCAAAGGCTACATCTAACGGACATGGCTGTCTCTGAATATGCCAAGGTCCCACAACCAAGAAAAATCGACTGTGGATGGCGTCTGTTTAGAATTAGAAAGTGTGGTCTCCCAGCCTCTGTCCCAGAGTCCAGAGCGGGGCAGCGGGGCGGTGACCATGGGCCTCCTGTGCTCACCCTCCTGCCTTTCCAGAGACGCCGAGAACTTGCTGGAGCCACAGCCCCCGGGGTCCTTCCTCATCCGGGTCAGCCACAGCCACGTGGGCTACACGCTGTCCTACAGGTGAGGCCTAGGCAGGGGTGCGGGGCAAGGTTGCCTGGTGTGGGTCCCCTGCGGAGCTGCAGGTCCCGCCCACACTGAGCTCGGCACACAGCCCAGGCGTGCCCCGCCCGGAAAGCCTCCCTCAGCGTTCTCTCCTGGCTCATCCCCAAGCCGGGAACAGGGCTGAGCACTGGCGCCCTCCCCAGATCTCCGAGTCCAGCTGTAGCAGGCACGCTGAGGCAGGAAGCTATGGGTTCCTCCTTCCATGTGCTGCAGGGTTCAGGACGGCTGCTGCCACGCCATGGTGCTGCTGCGGGACGACGGCCGCCTGCTGCTGCACGGGGAGGACACAGCCCATGCCTCGCTGTGCGCCCTGGTGGCTTTCCACCAGAGCAGGCCGCTGCGGCCTCACGGGCAGCTGCTCACGCAGGGCTGTGGGCAGGTGAGCTGGGTCCACCGCCCACCCTATCCTGGGAGTCTCCCAGCTGGGCATAGGACTCAGTGGGCGTCTCCACCGCTGAGCTGCAGGGATGGGGTTGTCCTTACACGGCCGGTGGGTGTGGCCTGGGGGGTCTGGAAAGCGGGTTCCTTCATGCAACGGATGGGCGTGGTCTAGGGGGTCTAAGGTGGTCTGGCTTCCTTATCCAGCCTGTGGGCGTGGCCTGCAATGGACTGTCTTCCTTATTTGGCTGGCTAGTGGGAGGGGGTTGGGGGGCTGGCTTCCTAATAAGTGGGCATGGCCTGGGGGCCTAGGGCCCGCTGACTTCTGTGGGCTGGCTTCCTTATTCAGATAATGGGCATAGCCTAGGCGGTCTGACTTCCTTATTTAGCTGGTAGATGTGGTGGGGCATGGTCTGGGTCTGGCTTCCTAATAAGGTCAGTGGGAGGGCCTGAGGGATCTAAAATTGGCTGACTTCCTTATGTCATGGGTGTAGCTGGAGACATCTGGGGAAGGCTGGCTTCCTTATTCAGCTGGTGGGCATGGCCTCGAGGTCTGGGGCTAGCGGGAAATAGCTCATGGCACTGGCTCTTCTATAGTCATGGGGATATGGCCTGGGGGTGGTTCTGGGGAGGGCTGGCATTCACATAACATCCGTGGACATGGCCTGGGTGGTCTAGCTAGAGCTGGCTTCCTACTATGGCTGGTGAGCGTGGCCGGGATTGACTCCTGGTGGGTGTGGCCTGGAGGAGTCTGGGGTCAAGTACTTCCTTATATGGCCTGGGGGCTGACTGCTTTATGTAGTCAGTGGGCATGGCTTTGTGATCTGCAGCAGGTTTACTTCCTTATACGGTCGATGGGTGGAGTCTGGAGTCTGGGGTCTGGGGCTAGCTGTGAATGGTGGGCTTCCTTATTCGGCTACGGAGCTTGGGTCCCCAAAATTCCGCGGGTGGGTGCTGTGGCGTTAGCCCTGCCCCAGGACCTGAGCTGTGTCTCCTCACAGACGAACCCAGCCACTGTGGACTATGAGGACCTCCTGCTCTGTGCTACCACCCTAGCCCAGGATGTTGCTGGCCCTGAGCCTGGCCCCGAGGAGCATCAGGGGCCCTGCTCCGGCCAGGAGGTATGGGGAGGCTGGCACTTCCATGGGGCGAGGGGGTGAAGGCTGAAACTGCTGCTAGAGGAGCTCCTAGAGGAGAGTTAGAACCCATCGGGGCCTTAAAGCCTTCCAGTGACCTCCATCCAACCCCACATCTCTGTAAAGCCACACTCAGGGCCACTCCCATGCCTCTGCTTGCCCTGCTGTGGTTCAGGTCAGCAGCGACCTCAGGACCTTGCACACATTGTGTCTCTGCCCCCAGTTCCCACACCCAACTTCTGTTTCTAGTTGACCTTCCCCTCTGCAGTGTCTGGACCTAAAACAGTCCCACGCCTGCCCTGTGTCTCCTCGCAGACAGCCCCTGGCAGCTGGAAGACTCTCGCTTTCCCATGGTCTCTATTTCCTGTAGGCTTTCCCGTTCCAAGGGAGTTCTACCCCAGCCTCAGCAATTAGGCAACTGAGCAAATTAGCCAGACCCTAAAACAAACAATAAAAAGGGGACTGAAGTGCAGCTCCCTGAGAAGGGCCTGGCTTCCATCTCAGGGCTACATTAATTAGGATTCAAACATACGCGGAATGATGATCCGCCTGGCTGTGATAACCGAGACAGGGCTGCCTGAGCTAACTACTTCCCCGTGTGCTTGGGTCGTTTGCATTTCTCTATTTTTTTTTGGCGGGGGGGGGGACCCCATCTGACCCGGGGAGGCGGCACCAACACACAGGGCGGTGGTGTAGGTGTAGGAGGCTGCTTGCCAGGTGTCCCCAGCTGCAAGCTACCCCATGGGACACCACCTGAGAAAGGGGCAGGCTCAGGGCTCGGAGGGCAACCAACCAGGTGGTCCCTGCCTCCGTTTCAGGATCCTCGAGAGCGCACCCGGCTTTTCCTGCCGAAGAACAAGGAGGCATCCCCAGAGGCTTGGATGGAGCCCGTGGAACAGGTCACCTCCCCCCAGCCCCCAGTGGTGCCTCTGGGGGACGCTGGTCAGAAGCTCTGGAAGAACCTCAGGGTGCTGCCTGATACCAGCAGGAGGGTCCAGCAGTGGCTGAAAGACCACCTCACTGTGAGCCTGTCGCCGTGCTGGGACACCTGGCTGGCAGAGGAGACTTCTGGCTCCAGGGTCAGGACGGACAGTCGGGGGCACTGGAGCAGTGCTGCCTGGAGAAACAGGGTCCCCACATCCCCAGAAAACACTCCTCAGTGCCAGGCCCTGAGGGACAGGGGCACACCCTCCAGGAAGGCCAGTAGGCCTGCCTCCTGGAGTGGGATGATCCCAAGTGGCAGAAGTTGGCGCCAGAAGATAACAAGGGCACTGTCTGCCCAGCCGTCCCAGCAGAAGCCGGGGGACTGGCTCCCTGAGGAGTACCTGCAGCCACCACCTTTTGCCCCAGGGTACTGCTAGGGGCCCACCCAACCGTGACCTCAGTGCTGGGCAGCCATGTTCCACGCATGTCCTCCAGGATACCCGGGTGGGAGAAGGCGCTGGTGACCAGCGTTAAAGAAGTGAGTGAGGCTTGCTCTGTGTCCAGCCAGTCCCGGTCCCCCTTGTTGCCTACAATTTGCCCTCACTCCCTATGGTTCCCAGTCTGGAGTTTGCCTACCATATGTGGAAAATGATTTTAACAGCTGTATGCAGGCTGGGCATGGTGGTGTATGCCTGCCATCCCAGCACTCTGGAGGCCGAGGCTGGAGAATCTCCCAGAGTTTCAGGCCAGCCTGAGCTATATGGCCAGACTGTCTCAAAAACCAAAAACTCAAACTAAAAATTGTGTGTGTATGGATATGTGCAGACTTGTTCCCTCAGCAGGGTTTCCTAGACAGGACTGGGGAGCACTGGGGACATCATGCCAGTGTTGGAGCAGTCCAGAGGGGTGGAAAGGCTGCAGGGGGTAGGCCTGAGGAGCCTGCAGGAATCCAGTGGGACATGGCTGCCCCAGCACTGAGGGTCCCGCTGAGGCTCAGGGGAGCTGGCACGGCCACTGAACAAGGGTCAGGGGACCACAGCCCTCACACACAAGGTCCACGCTCTGTGCAAATCACACTGCAGAGCCTGGGCCAGCAGGGCCACCTCCCCAGGTGGTTGTGGCCTAAACACAAAGATGGCATCGTCAGCATCATTTTGGGGGGACACATAGGAGCCACTTTCCTTTAAGGAGCAGGCTAGCACATCCCAGCACTTGGGAGGCTGAGGCAGGAGGATTACCGAGTGTTCCAGGTCAGCCTGAACTACACAGGGAGACCCTGTTTCAAAAGCGGGGTGGGGCTGGGGCTAGAGCTCAAGGTGAAACTCTGGGTTCAATGCCAAGTATTAAAAAAAAATCAAAACAGCAGGAACCCAGGGTGGTGGCTGGAGGTGGCCTCCGGGGGAGAAGCCCAGGGTGCAGTGCTGTGTGGTCCTGGGTAAATCCAGACCTCTCTGGGCCTGCTCCCCACCTGGATGATGAAAGGGCAGCCGACCTTCTCCTCTGCCTCCTCTGGCACGCAGTGGGTGCTTAATCAGTGTAGGTGGCAGGGCCATTCTGAGGCCACAGATGTGTGCCTGGGTGTCCATGGGGCCCCCATGCTGGCAACCCTGCTTGGCTGGGGTCTGCAGTGGGGGTTCCCGGCTGAGCCAGCCCCACCAGTGACTCAAGGTGTGACCTGGCTTCCTCCAGAGGACGTCACGACCGCCCCTCATCCGATCCTACTGGGTCAACCTGCACAGACCCACTGCAGCAGAGGGGCAGTGCACGTAACTGTGAAATGTGGTCCCCCTAAAAATGGCATCCCCGTCACCTCCCCCTCAGAACCGACCCAGGACAGCACCCATGAGTCAGCAAAGTGTGCGAGTTCCGGGCCCCTTGAGAGACTGAGGATGGAGAAGAATCCTGAGAAGCCATCAGTGACTGGGCCCCAGCTGTGGGGTGCTGCTGACCGTCCACCTAGCTGCTGCCCCACAGACGCACGGAGCGGGACCATGATCCAGAAGCCGATGCAGTCACAGGAATCAGAGAATGTGGCCCAGGGAGGGCCCAGCCATACCCAAGGCCACACAGCAAGGTACCAAGGACACCAAGCCTCCAGATCCAAGATGGAAACTCGAAGTGGGGGACAGCAGGTGGGACTCAGTGACTCTTTATTCCCAGGCCTGAGGGGCAATGGTGACCCTGCCACAGGCCCCTGCTGGGAGCACTATCTTCAGATGCGGATGTGGAAGGTGCTGGAAAGAGAAGAGAAATCAGGGCCAACAGCTGGGCCACACCTCCTGGCCTCAAAGCCCAGGTCTACCCCAGTGACGCCATTTATGGGCACGGAAGTGTGATCTCACACCATCCTCAAGTCATGGAAGCTGCTGCTGTTTTTTTTCTTTTTTGTATTGGGATTGAACCCAGGGCCTTTGCACTGCACTCCATCCCCACCTGTTTCATTTTGTTTCATCTTGTTTCATTTTGCTTTGAGACAGCCTCTCATTAGTTGTCAGGCTGGGCTCAAATTTGCGACCCTCCTGCCACAGCCTCCCAGAGTGCTGGGATGCCAGATGGGTGCAACTACGTCTGACTGGGCTATTACTCTCACTCATGTGAAAAGGTAAAACCAATCTTGCCTCCTGGGAAGTCTGAGGTCCGTGGCTCATCTCTGGCCAGCCCTGTGTTAAGTCTCCTAACTCCATCTCAGGCCTGTAGTGCCAACTCTCATTCAGCCCCCAGGCTGCCAGTACAGTTGCACAGGCTATTCACATGAAACTGTCCAGCCAATGAGACTCAAGACCAAGCAATGAGACTGAGATCCACAGAAATGCTTTCACCCACAAGAGGCACCCATAGAGATCCTAATCATCCCCACTAGTCAGACTCAGGGATGGTGACCAGGAAAGCTCACACGGGAATCAGCAGAGGACTTTCCATGACAATCCTCATCAGGACAGGTGGAAGTGTCACCTGAGGAAGTCGGGGGCCCGCAGGATCATGCTTTGGAAGTCCTCCAGGGACAGCCTCCCATCGTGGTCGCTGTCAGCCTCATCTAGAACCTTCTCACACACCAGGCTGATCTCCTCGGCACTCAGCTCCCCCCGAGTCAGCCTGGTCACCGTTTGCTCCAGGTCCCAGGCGCAGATGTAGTTGTCATCGTTAAAATCTGTGGGGCACACGGTGGGGACAGGAGGTGGCTGCTGGGCCAGGTACATCTTGTGACAGAGGAGGAAACTGAGGTACTGGGGCACCCAAGACCACTGGGTAGATTCTGGGTCTGCCTTTGGGCTTGGCAGGAGCCAGCTGGGAATTCATTCATCTGTCCAAGTTATTTACAGAGAATTTACCATGTGCCTGGTGTCACAGTAATGTTCACTTATTCACTGACAAGGTATACATTTATCTTCACCCCTGTGCTGGGAATTGAACCTAAGGCCTTTATACTGAGCTATATTGTCAGTGCTTTTAAATTTTTTTTTTATTTTGAAACAGGGTGGGTCTTTCTAAGTCACTTTCTAAGTCACTAAGTTGCCCAGGCCTGGCTCAAGCTTGGGATCATACTGCCTCAGGCTCCCAGGGTGCCGGCATTACAGACGTGCACCACCACGCCTAGATCGAGTTTTCTTAAGGGCTTACTGTATGCCTGGCATTGAGGTACCTTTTCACTCATGCCCTAATCAGTGCCTGGTGACCGCCTATGCGTCACACATACATGTTTGTCATCCTTCACTCATGAGAATTTACTGCGAGCACCCAAAACTACTCTTCTTCGGTTTTGTATTCAGTCAGCAACTGTTTGCTGTATGTCACTCATGGGACACAGATGTGAGCAGAACAGATGCTGCCACCATCCCTCATCTCCTCGGGGAGAAAGTGAGGCGGGCACAGATGAGTGTTGGGGCGTGGTTGGGGGTCAGGGCTTGCTCGCCTGGCCTGCGCCTGGGCTCGGTCCTCAGCACCGCAGAACGAAGCAATCACCACAACTAAAGACGCAAACAACAGAAGTGAGAGGAAGGGACTGATTGTGTGGCTCGCCCGGTGCCTGCAGAGCAGGGGACCCCGGCAGGAAGTAGTGGCGCCATCACCCCTTGACTTCCGGGAGCAGACGGGGCGCGGAGTGGGCATGGCCGGGAGGGCTGAAGCGGGAGGCCTGTGGCCTGAGAGCCCCCTGTCCCCCCACCCTGCACGCACCGTAAATTCTGAAAGCGTAATAGGCCTTGAGGTCGCGCGGAGCCATCCCGCTCATCACCGAGAACATGTCCAGGAAGTTGTCCAGCGTCATGTGGCCATCGCCGTCCTCCGAGAAGACCTGGACGATGCGCTCGCGGAAAGGGTTGTCCTGGGACAAGAGACAGCGAGGGTCTCCAGGGTCCACTTGCGATCTCTCCTGCCAGCCCGCCTGGGAGCTCAGGACCCTCTGCCACATGACTTAGGAGACCCCAGCCTCAATAGGGTGTGCTTGGTGGCCTGACATCACTTCCGCTCCAGAACATCATACGCCCCAGGGAAGCCAAGCAGCGTTCCTACGTATGCCAGGCATGATTGGATCGGAGATATGCACGTGACTCTATGTGGCCAATCAGACGCTGCCTGAGACTGGTGGGAGGAGTCCAGCGGGAGTTTTCTGAGCACGTGGTCTGATGTCCTGACTCCTGGCCATAACCTGGCCCTAACCCTGTGCCTAGATTATTTTCTTTTTCAAGTCTAGGGATTGAAGTCAGCCTGACAGGTTTTTCCCCCATGTGCAGGCTCCCTTTGTACTGGACAGCGCTTCCTTGAAGTTCTCTCCAACCCCGCAGGCACGTCAAACCTTGCGTTTTGCAGATGCACAAAGGCTCCTTCAATCAGCTGCAATACCTCCTTCCGCCCGCCCCGGTAGCTCTGCCCGCTGTCAGATTCCGAATAACGCCCTCAGTTTTCTCCTGAAGCTTCCAGAGGGTGCCTGCCTCTCTTTGGCAGCCATCCCGTGCCTTCAAAACAGGCCTTTTCTGCTCACTCTCTCACGCTAGCTCTCTCTTTTCTTTCTCGCACCACGGAAGACCAAACCCTGTCTTTTAGATGGGGTCTGGCTAAGTTACTGAATTGCCCAGGCAGGCCCTGATGGTGCAGTCCCCCTGCTGTAGCCTTCCAGAGTGCTGGAATTACAATCATGTGACACCACGTGCAGTTTGGAATAGTTTTTTTTTGTTTGTTTGTTTGTTTGTTTGTTTTTGTACCAGGGATTGAACTCACACTACCTTGTGCTTGCTAACCCCTGGCATGGAATAGTTTTTTTTTTTTTTAGATGACCAAATCAAAAAGTACTACCTTTCCCTCGGCACTTACTGACTACATTGCCCCCGCCCAGCACCCTGGACTTTGATCCTGCCTGCTGAGTTGTAGCCCTGTGAGGTGAACAAGGGCACCAACGTCTGACCCCCGCTTTCTCATCTTTTGTAAGCAGGGTCTTAGTGGGCTGTGCCCCAGTGCAGGATGCAGCTAGGGACCCCCCCCCCCGCCCTGTCCCCCACTTCCCAACCACACCTTCAGCTCTGGCATGCTGCCGATGAGCTCATACGGCACCTTCACTGCTGGGCAGCTGGTGTAGTCCAGGGGCACGAGCTGGGGCGCCAGGTCCTGGTAGCGGTAGAAGAGTCTGGTGGGGAGAGAGGCTGAAGAGGTTGGAGCTGGACAAGGAAGAGGCTTGTCCTGCCTCACCTGGAAGCTGCTCTGCCACACTGCACAGGGCTGGGTCTCCAGGAGCTGTTGGCCCTGGGTCTGACCCTCAGCCACCAGCAGATGGGACCAGTGTGGGGAGAACACTCCAAGGAGGGGAAGCCTGCAGAAGGGAAGCAAGGAGAGAAGGAAGGACTTTCTGGAAGGGGGTGTTGATGCCAGCTTAGCAGTGCAAGTAGGAGCTCACTGGCGAGAGAGAATTGGGAGAAAGGAATGTGTTTGTGGCCTGATCATTTCACAGCCAGCACTCAGGGACTCCTGGGCATCCTCTGCAGCTCTAGACATCGTCACACTGTCACCAAGACGCTGCCTCTGCCATTCTTAGACCTACCTTCCTTCTCTGCAACAGGACTAGATTCTCCCAAGAGCCAGGGCAGAGGTGACCTGCCAGCGTGCAAGTTTTTAAAGGACAAAGCATGGAATGCCACATGCCTGTTAGACAAGAGAGCCAGCTTTCCTCTCAATGCCTCTGCCTGCTGACACTGTACCTTGAGTGGCGCAGGCTGGGCAGCTGCCATGCGGGGACAGTCTGAGCAGAATCTGAGGTCTCCAAGCTGCTAGGTGGTCCCAACCACTGCATTCCTATCAGGGTCCCCTCAAGGAATGGTGCCTGGAATGTGGACCTCCGTGTGGCCTTTGGCAAGTCCTCCACCCTCTCTGAGTCTTAGTGCGGTGATCAGGAAGATGAGGATAGGCGGCATGCCAACCCACGGTCTCCTCACTGCTCTGCATGTCTGCCAGGGGCACAAGGTCCACCTGGCTCTGTCCCAGCCTCAGTTTCTCAGACAGTAACCTGATCGAGATGGCCAAGGTGACCCCACAGCCATACCAGCTCAGACAATGGGCTCCCTGGTGAGAAGGGCACCCATCAATAATGGATGCCCCGTGCCCACACTCGGGCCTGATCCCGGCCCTCTCAGCCACCGAAGCCCAACCAGCTTGGGTTTCACGGCCACTGGGCCATGGGTCGGGACCTCTGGACAAAGCTCCAGGGCTAGGGTGATGACGGGACCTTCATCTGGGCCAGCTCACTGGGCTTACATCCAGCAGATGCCCCAATGTCACCTGCAGCCTAGCACTGGCTGTGAGCTCTGCAGAGGTACTGAGGTGCCGCCCCCTGCCTGCAGTCCTCCAAGGCTTCTGGCAACTCCAGGGAGGGAGCCCCAACTCCGCAGGAACAACAGGACAGCATGTGGCTCTTTGTCATTTTTCTGAGACAGGGTCTCGCTGTGTGGTTCAAACAGGTCTCGAACTCACTGCATGGCCCAGGCTGGCCTGGGGCTGGCAGTGACCCTCCTGCCTCAGCCTCCTGAGTGCTGCGATGACCACCTAGCATGTGGCTGCTCAGCATCCTTTACCATCAGCTCTCTCAAGCCACAATACTCTGACACAGGGAGTCCTCTATGCTGAGGTCCCCAGCCACACTCGGGGCCCCTGCCCCCAGACTCACCTCATGATCTCCTTCTGGGTGAAGAATGTGCAGTCCTGGGGACAGAGGGGTGGCCTTAGCCCCAGCCCGGCCCCCATGTCTTCTGTGCCCCAACCCACACGGGCGGCCTGGCAGGGCCCATGCCCACCTGGTATGCCTCAAGTTGCTCGGGTGTGAACACCGTCTGCTTGTTGCCCATTGTGAGGACAATGGTCGGCTGGGGCACTGGGGCCAGGCAGCTGCTAGCCAGTGTGTGGGCAGATGTCCCGCCTGCCTGTCACCCGCCCACCCAGCCCTCACCCCCAGCCTGGCAGACTCAGGTTACAGCCAGGCTCTCTGGGTGGCCAAGTGAGGGCATCAGGGGGCAAGGACAGGGGCCAGGACAGGTCACATGGAGGCCGCCTGTGCGGGACCACAGCGAGGCGGAGTCAGTGGCCCTGTCAGGATGTGGACAGCTGACATCACCATAGCTCATAGCCCAGCCTCTCTGGACTGTGCTGCTGGGGTGTCATCCCCTGCACCCCTGCCCTGGAGAGTCACTCAAGAATCTAAGGTGGTCAGGGGTCATGCACAGCACAGGAGTGGGCCCCAGGCTCTGGCCTGAGACAGTCTTGCTGCATCCTGACCTGAGAAAATGGGCCAAGGCCAAAATTGGAGGAACCCTGGGTTCAGGAATGCCAGCTGGAGTCATTGGTGTGGGACTCGTCAGGCCTTTGCTGTCCTTGTGGGCACCCAAGCATCCTCCAAGTCTATTAAGGCCCAGAATGCTCTGCTGGGGATCGGTACTGGTGAGTGGCCTCGGGTTCATGACCCCCTCGATGTGTGTCCCACCCATCTCCCTACTCTCCTGTCTGAAAGGATTTTGCCCTAAATGGGATGCTGCAGCAGTGGGAGGCTGGGAGACAGAAGGTCACTGTCCCCACCCCTAGGCAATTTACCTGTGGCACAAAATGAATTCCAATGGGCTACCTGTGCATCAGTAATGCCCCTTAGGCACCACCCCAAACCTAAGCTATACGTATGCCCCCATACCACGTGTCCGGCAGAGAGAAAGCCAGACCTCCGTGGTGGTAGTGGTGGTGGTGGGGGGGATTCTCTCTCTGCATTCTTAAAATAAAAGCCACTTTATATTCTGTCTCCTAACCGCGCCGAAAACTCTTTCACTCTCCAGCTTAGTTTCCTGGGCTTCCTGGGCACCCCAAGGCCCTGAACCCTGGCCCCCCTTGCTTCTGCTCCTTCCTCGTCCCGATGCCCTGGTCCAGACCTTGCCAACCCCCCAGCAGGTGGTCCTTCTCAGCTTTGCCAGCTTCAGGCCGGGTAGCCCAAGTCTGCAGCTGTCTTGTGCAGTCACGAAGATGGGGAGCTGGAGACCTCCTAAGGATAAATGTTAAAAGCCCACAATTCCTAGAAGGAGGAGTCGGAAGTGGAGGGGGAGGAGGAGGAAGAGCAGCCACTAAGTGTGATGGTGCACATCTGTAATCCCAGCACTCAGGGATCATGGGAGGCTGAGGCAGGAGGATCACCATGAGTTTCAGGGCCAGTTTGAACTACACAGTGAGACCCTGTCTCCAAAAACCCAGAAAGCTGATGACGCCAAGCCTGGGTGAGGCAACAACACAGACCAGCTAGAACTCTTGGGTTACAGCCCCCCCATAGGATGGGCCGGGAGGACTACAGTTAACAGAGCCAAACCTACACTTTCCACTTGACCCAGCAGACACATTTCTGGGCAATCACCTGATGAGTGGAGCAACCTCTGTCCAAACCGGGTGTGGTAGCTCAAATCTGAGATCTCAGCGTTTTGGAAGGTTGAGGCAGGAGGATCTGAAGTTGGAGACTGACTTGAGCAGGCAACTTAATGAGACCCTGTCTCAAATTTTTAGAAAGGAGTGGGGACATAGTTCAGTGTGAAAGTCCTGGGTTCAGTTTCCTGCACTGACCATACCTATATTCAACCAAGAGTGAGTCCTTGTGTGGCCCCTAGCCTGGGTTTGGTAATTATACATAAGCATAGGCTCAGCAGCTATCACTAGTAGAAGTTTCTTGCACAGTGGAGCTGCTGGGGTGGTGGGAGCAGCACGGACACAGGAAATGTGTGTCTCTTTAGTTCCATTTTGCTATAAATTTAGCTACTTCTTTACGAAATTGTAACAATTTTTTTTTTTTGTCTTTTTGAGACAGGGTCTCTTTATGCGGTTCAGGCTGGCCTTGAGCTCACTTTGTAGCCCAGCCTGGCCTGGAACTCGCAATGATCCTCTTGCCTCAGCCACCCGAGGGCTGGGATAGAATATTTTTAAGTTGATGCTGTGGATTAACTAATGACCAGTTTAAGTAGGGGTGGGGAGGCCCAGCTGACCTGAGCCACGTGGTGCCCGGTGTGGAAGGCACCACTGAGGACTGATGGCAAAAAAAGAACCAGAGGAGGAGACGTGCGCTTTCTCCTGCAGCAGCGCCTGCGCCCATGGCTGACTTTCCTGAGCAGCCTGGGCTGTTATCATCGGAGGCGGAGCTAGGGTCCTCCTTGTCGCAGAGGTTGAGTGCCGTTATATTTGGGAAGCTCTAGTTCTTACCTTGCACATCGCTTCCTGGATCCTGGGACAGATCCTTCACCCTGCTGCTGTACTTTTTTTTTTTTTTTTTTGGTGCCAGACCTGTACCTGTGAGCCCTGCCCCAGCCCTGGGTGCAGACCTTTCAGGTTCGACCACTGGCCTTTGAGCCCACCCAGAGCAATCCTTGATGGGGACTCGAGTTAGACATTGTTGTGTGTTCTAAGACATTGGGGTGGGATCCAGGGCCTGGGCTGGATTCTCTGGGTCTCTGGCCTGTGGACAGATGTTTTTGCATCCTTACAGATCACTAGGACACGTGGATTATGCAATTGTGTTCACAAAAAAAGTGTTCGTGCCTATGGGATGAAAAAGATATTTGTAAATCGTGATTCCAATAAGACTAATAGGCATAACAGGGGAAAAAGTCCTACGACTCAACAATATGAATAAACCAAGAGGCAGCATCACTCGATTTTTACTTAGGTAAAAACCCTGAGGTATTCCTACGGTTTCCACAGCTCAGCCCTCCTGCCCCAACCACCCGCAGCAGCATTTAACTTCTGGGGCACAGTACTGCACCTCGGGCACAGGAATGACTGGAGAACACTGCCACCCAGCGTTCGGGATATCTGTATGAAATGCCCAGAACCTGCTTTCTGTTTTCTTGTGAGTGGGGGAACAAATGAATCGGGAATGGGGGCGGGTAATGGAACAGTTCTGCATTTTGACTGCAGTATTAGGTGTGTTAAAGAGTTCAGAGAAATTGAACTCAGCAGAATTGCTGTGTGATTGGTTGAAGTCCTGCATTCTGTGATTGGCTGAATTTTGGCATCCTGTGATTGGCTGAAGCTTGCCAGAACTATGCAAGCCAGATTTGAAATTTCGATCCATCTGCCTCAGTCTCTGAAATACTGGAATTACAAGCATGCACCACCAAACCCTGATGTTTAACAATAAATTACAGTTTTAACTACACTGTATTTTCTTAAAAGCCGTGGGATTTAAAAAAAAATCCTAATGTCTGAGGAATGACATATTTCTTAGATAACAGTATTTTTTTTAAACTTGCATGTGGCTGGAGTGGTGGGGCATATCTCTAATCTCAGCTACTCAGGAGACTGAGGAAGGAGGATCACAAATTCAAGGATAGCCTGGGCAGTTTAGTGAATCCTTGTTTCAAACTAGGACTGGGGCGCCCCTCGGTGGTAAGTGCTTGCCTAGCATGTTCGAGGCCCTGGGTTCCATCCCCAGAACTGCAGAAAAAGCAACTAGGTGTAGTAGAGCGTGCCTGTAAGCCCACCACTCAGCAAGCTGAGGCAAAAGGATTGCTGTAAATTTGAGGCCATCCTGAGCTGCATAGTGAATTCAAAGCCAGCCTGAATTGCATAAGATGACCTTGTCTAAAAACAGAAATGAATGCCAGGTCTGGCGGTGCATGCCTGTAATCCCAGTAGTTGAAAGGCTGAGGCAGAGTTTAAGGTTAGCCTGGGGTACACAAGCAAGTTCAAGGGTGACCTTCACTACATAGTGAGCCCTGCCTCCAAAAACAAAATTAAATTAAATTAAACCAAAGGAAAACAGATCTCACCTACTTATTTTGCCACACTGGAGTTTAAACCCAAGGTCTCCACATACTAGGCAAGCACTCAACCACCAAGACACCCCACAGTCCTTTTATTTTGAGACAGTGTCTCACAGAGTTGCTCAGCCTGGGCTCAAACTTGCCATCCTCCTGCCTTGCCTTCCAAGTAGCTTGGATTAAAGGCGTGTTCCCCTGTGCCTGGCATCAGCCTTTTCTTATGATCAGGCCACATTTAAGACTTCTCCAGAGGACCCTAGAGGGTGCTCTCTTCCCAGAAGCCCTGGGGCACCCTGGTGGCTCCATGGTATTGTGGGTGATGCTAAGCCTGAGAGCTCGGATCAGGCAATGTTTTCCAGGTTTCTCTTCAAATAAGTGATTTCTCCTTTCCATGCTCTTTTCTTTGGGAACAGTGGGGATTCCTTCAAGGAAATGCTCTTAGCCGTGCACAGCACCATGTACACAGGTACTCCCATTCTCTCAGAGGCTCAAGAGGGTCTCTTAAGCCCAGGAGTTTGTGAACAACCTGGTCAATGTAGTGAGACGTCTGCCCCACACCCACGAAAACGTGACTTGGAACTATGTCCTAAATCTGAATTTCAGGAGGCCTCAGCTGACATTGTGTTTTCATTGCATGCATTCAAAGAAGCAATGCATAAAATGAAAGTCTATATACTGCACGTATCTCTTATGATAATGTAATGGAGGTGAAATAAGAATTTAGTAAGCCGGAGCTGGGGATTTAGCTCAGTGGCTTAAGCGCCTGCTTGGCAAGTGCGAGGTCATGAGTTTGATTCCCAGCAGCGGAAAAAAAAAAAAAAAGAGTTTAGTAAGCAAAGAACATTACATAGCTAGGCCTCGTAGCACACACCTGTCCTCCCAGCACTCTGGAAGGCTGAGGCAGGAGGACTGTAGGTTGGAGCCCAGCCTGGGCAACTTAGTGAATCAGAGAGACCCTGTCTCTAAATAAACATGGCACAGCTCAGGGCTGAGGCCCAGGGTGGATCTCCAGAACCAGAAAAAAAGGTTCTGACAGTATCACTCCTACAGGGACACAGATCAATGGGGAACATGGGTAAAAGCAACAAGTTGTTCCCGTGGTTGGCATTCCCACAGTTTAGCCCTCCTGCCCCAGGGGTGGAAAGTATCACAGTCATGTGCTGCCTCAGTTTCCCCCCACTCCTAAATATTGAGGAGGGTTTGCCTCCTGGGCAGCAGTACCAGCTGCTGGGCTGCTCATCCTCGACACCCCCGCTGGAGCTGTGTGCGTGTCCCCAGTCTGCTCCAGCGGTGTTCCTGGGCCTCTCAGGCCCCACTGCAAGGTCATCAGTGTCAGCTGTCCATACACCAGAGTATCCAGCTGAGGCCCTGGATCCCACCCCAACATCTTGCACAAAGCCAGCTGGAAGCCTGGAACCCATAACAATGTCTAAGGCAAGTCCATGTCAGGGATCTGGGCTGGGCTGCTCAAAGGCCAGGGTGGAAGCTGGAAGGTCTGCACCCAGAGCTGTGGGGGGTCTGTGTAGTAGAGGCCCTGAGGTGGATCCCTAGCACGCGCGCGCGCGCACACACACACACACACACACACACACACACACAAAGAAAAAACGTGCAGCAGCAGAGAGCAGGATCTAAGTCCATTTGTTCAGGGTTTGGCTTGGTTGGCATTTCCTTGTTAATTTTTTGTCCCATTGATCTATCTGTGACTGTGGAGTGTTCAGTGGCTGTTACAACTGTGTTAGTGCTCGCCTAAGTTTTTCAAAGGTTCTTGCCCTAATATAAAAGACTGTACAGTTATGGTGGTGGTCTAACGGGGCGGGGCGCAGGCCAAAGCAGGAACGCCTACCACTTCCTGTTTCTTCCTCAGCCTTAATTGCTACTCCCCTTCCTGTTTGCACAGAAGAAAACTCCAATCAGCTCCTCCTACATCATCAATGCCCGCCCTAAGCACCACCCCCACTCAAAGGTTGCATACTTCCCATACCGCCATATTCTGTCGAAGGAGACAGCCCAGCCACCATGGGTTGTGTGCTCCTTCCCACGTCCTCAACTCAATAAACCTGTTCATTTTGTACTTTTGCTTCTCTGTTGCACCAGAAAACTGTTTCATGATGGGGCCGTGACTCAGATGGCAGAGCGCTGGCTCCAGAGCCACTCCCAGTTCCAGCTCCCTGTGAACCACAGGACTCCAGGACTGTTTACTTGCTACCGTTACTCCACATGCAACAGCGACCTTCCTCACATCGCAGGTAAGCTGCCGTCTGGGGTTTTCTGTTTCCTTTTCTAAAATTAGCAAGCTTGCATCAGAAAACCTGTCCTTGCTGTCCCTGGACAGAGGTAGCAGTTTTCACACTCCTTAGGCCGTACAGTCTGAGGCAAAACTTTTATTTTTGTTCCCTGGGACCCCGCCCCACACTCTTAGGTGACAGTCTAGGAGAATGAGTGTTGGGTCTTTCCCTGTCACACTTTAAAACAGTGATGACTTTTTGATACGTGTGATCCAGGACGTTTCCACGTTCCTTGGGGGAAAGCTAAAGCCCTTATGTCCAGAGGTGAAGTTGTTCTCTCAGCTCACTTATTATTTAAGCATGGGAACCATTTCCTGTCCCCTGAAAAACGCACCTCTGGGGTGCCTGGTTCATAACCTTGGTGCTCTTGGCCTCAAGAAGGCTATGAAAACCAAAACACTGATCTTTCATTTATGCTTTTGTCACAATGGCAGAAAGCTGGCAGAAACCCTTCATTTTTAGGCCTTTTCACTTTGAGGACGTGTCTTTCTCTCACTCTGTCTTGTATTACAGCCCAAAGACTTCTGGCTCACTCTGCTCCACCAGGAACTCTCTCTCTCTCCCCACCAGACCCCTTAGATGATGCAGCTCCTGTCTTTATAGCTCCTCCCCTGTATCTCCAAGACCAAATCCCACAGCTTTCTCAGCCAGAGATTTTTGTGCCTCTTGCGTCATCCTCAGCCCCAGTGGCCTCTAATCCTTCCCTTACTTTCTCTCCCTAGTCTCCTATTTCTCAATCCCCTCCACCTGAGCCATCTATTCCATCAGGAGGTTCTTTGTCCCTCATCCCACTGGCCCACCATACTCGGTCTCGTGCATTACAGCATTTCAGCAAGCCACATGGTTCTCAGCAGCCATCTTATTGCAGCTCACATGAAGGACAGCTGCCATCTTGCAGCTCTCCACAACGTGACAGTGCGCACCCATCTTGTGATTGGTCACAGGGTCAATGGTCGCCCTCTTGTGGTCTAGCAGCAGCCATCTACAGGCTGGTCCTGAGGGATTAGTTCATATCCCTGTCCATTTTTCCCTCTCTGACCTATCTCAGAGTAACCATAAATTAGGTTCCTTTTCTGCTATTCTTATTTCAAGAGATCTCTATTATTGATCTACAAACAGGTTCACAGTAGTCTACTATAGTTCAAATTGGCCAAATATATTTGAGTGTACTATGATTTTATAACGTTTGTCAGTCTATATATCTGTTATCTGTTTGTCCAGTCTATTTACACTATACAGATTGTCTGTCCATGTTTGTCCATTTGCTTGCTCTGTAAACAGCCGTTCCTTTTTATTTGAGCTCAACAAACTTTTTTCCTCCTCTTTTGCATTTTCAGATCATTTAATCAAGATTTATTTTGATTATAGATTTTAAAAACATGTTTCCAGGGGTGAGTTCCAGCACACCAGCATGGGTGCGGGGAGAGCTTAAGATCATCACTCCCAGAGGCTGGGGATTTAGCTCAGTGGCATAAGCACCTGCCTTGCAAGCAGGCAGTCATGAGTTCGATCCCCGGTACCGATAAAAGGGGAAAAGACAAAAAAAAAAAAAAAAAAAAAAAAGATCATCACTCCCAGTAGTTAAATGCCTGCCCAGCTTCCAGCCACACTAGACTAAGCTTAGGAGGTTTTGCTCCACCTCCTAGCAAACCACACTAGACCACGCCCAACGGTAACCTTCTTCAATCAGGGGAGCTGAGGGCACATGAAGTGAGTTCCAGTGCATCGGTGCATGCCTGAGGAGAGCTTTGAATCATCACCCACAGTGGTTAGGAACATCCCAGCTTTCTGGAACACCGGAGGTGGCATGGGAGGTGCTTTGGGCCTGACTGGACCATGCTCAGCAACCTCCATTCAGTCCCAGGAGATGAGGGGATAGAAGGTGATTTCCAGCATGCCCAGGGGAAGCTTTGGAACATCACTTGAAACACAGAAATATACGAAAATCACAAGACAAAAGACCAAATGCAATCTCAAACCTGCAACCCATCCCAAGAAAGTCTAGGAGCCATGTACATAGAAGAAAATATAAGCCATATACATGAAATGCCTGAAATGATAGCAACTGAAATAAAGAAGCAATTCTGGGAAGCTTTAAAGCAATTCAAGTTAGAAATAACCTCCCAAGTAAATGAAGAAATGATAAAAGTAATGAAAGAAATGCTGAACACATCTAACGGAGACATAGTTAAAAAATTAGAGCAACAACAGTGATTACCCTTAGACTAACTATATATGTTACATAATAGCCAAAATGTGGAGGAAATTTAAATGTCCTATTACAAATAATGTATGAAAATAAATTACATAAACATATAAGTGGAATATTATTTAGTCTTAAAAATTGAAGAAAATTCATCCATGAGCAACAGGAAATGACCATGAATAACATTATGTTAAGAAAAATTGACCAGCCACAGAAGACCAGATAATGTGAGACCCTTTGTAGAATATATGTAACTTAGATGAAAATACGGACTCAGAGAGTGGAATTGTGATGATCTTGACCTGGACAAAGAGGATGGTGAGATGTGAGTCAGAGCGTACAAAGTTTTAGATCTACTTAACAAGTAAACTGTAGAGGTTCACATACAATCAGATTGAGTATATATCAATATGGTAGTGGATAAACAAAATATTGTTAAGAGAATCTTGCATTAGATATTCTTAATAGAACAATAATGATATTTATAATAGTAAAAGGAAGAGTTCATTTTTACATCACTGGGTATGTAATTAGATGTGTTTGTTGCATAGATAGTGGTAACAATATCACATATTTATATGTATCTCCAAAACAATGAAATGTTAGCTGTGATATATAGAAACTTTTAAATTTGATTGCATTTCTAAGAAATGGCTTTGAAAGTGAATTTTTTCATGCACTTACTTTAAGTAAATTATGTATAAACATACTTACAAATTATAAACACAACAGGAAATATGGATCTGACATATGCTGACACCTAAATTTATATAAGGAACTGAGACTCACTATTTTTAAGTTAATCAAAGGCATAGAGCCTCAGAAAAGATGATGTACCAACAATCAACAATATATGCAAAAGTGCACAATTTTATCAGTTAGCAGGTACTTTCAAATCAAAATCAAAATATTTTACCAGCATGAGAGTAAAACAAGCAACCCACATCAGAATGATGAGGATTTTCTTTGTGTTTAAGCAGCTCTCCAGCAGTGTTCCTTACAGACCAGACCTCAAAACCGTAAGAGTGACTAACGTGAAGGCTTCCTTTCTTCTTCCAACACACTGTGGAAAATAAGGAAAGAAATTGTCAAAGACAAGGATTTTTAAATGGCTGTCATTAATTTCAACCCTTCACAGTTTCAGATCTCCAAACAATCAAAAGTAGGTTTTCAGAAGTGCTTTATTGTTGGTAAGCAGAAAGAAGTTACTTCTGTGTCGTGTCACCATGAAAATAACATCATTATTCCAAAACCTGCAGTGACACCACCATGTTATTCATATGGCACTTAGCTTCCCTGTTAACCCAAGTTAGTCTTTAGGAAGGGGACTTTCATGTGTGTGTTCCAAGTTCAGAGAATGGAATTCTCACTTGAGAATACATGATCCCTAGCGTGTTTCTTCAAACAAAATTCCTTTTATCAAACAGGATAATTAATTCCTGGGAGACATAACATAGATGCAAGTCAAGATCTCTCAATCTTTGTGGAAACCACTTTAGTTTTACACTGAAAGGTGAAAATATTTTTGATTTAGTTAAAAACTGCAGAACAACATTCAACTTGAGTAAGTGAACCGTTTGAAAATGTTTCCTTCAAATTTTCCATCTTCTTTGCTGCAGGACCAGAATTACAAAATTAAGATGATTTGTCTATAATGTGTCAGAAGAATTCATTATAAATTTGGACACCAGGTTTTCTTTGGAAACCTGTTAGATAAAAATTTTGAAGTTTTAGACTAACAAGGACACTTCCTTGTGTATTGGATAAAGAATTTTCTAATGATTTCTTTGCAAGTACATGAATTCTTTCTTAAAGAAAATTTTCATTCCAAGAGGTCACTTTCAAGATTGAATTACTTGCGGCCTGTACCCAGCCGCGCCTGGCCATCGGTGTGCGGAGGAGGAGCTGCGCGGATCCGGAGCCGCCTGCAGAGGCCCCTTCCTTTGTCTGGAGGAGGAGGGGTCCCGGGTTCCTGGGACACCTCGGCCCGTACCCAGCCGCGCCTGGCCATCGGTGTGCGGAGGAGGAGCTGCGCGGATCCGGAGCCGCCTGCAGAGGCCCCTTCCTTTGTCTGGAGGAGGAGGGGTCCCGGGTTCCTGGGGCACCTCGGCCCGTACCCAGCCGCGCCTGGCCATCGGTGTGCGGAGGAGGAGCTGCGCGGATCCGGAGCCGCCTGCAGAGGCCCCTTCCTTTGTCTGGAGGAGGAGGGGTCCCGGGTTCCTGGGGCACCTCGGCCCGTACCCAGCCGCGCCTGGCCATCGGTGTGCGGAGGAGGAGCTGCGCGGATCCGGAGCCGCCGGCAGAGGCCCCTTCCTTTGTCTGGAGGAGGAGGGGTCCCGGGTTCCTGGGACACCTCGGCCCGTACCCAGCCGCGCCTGGCCATCGGTGTGCGGAGGAGGAGCTGCGCGGATCCGGAGCCGCCTGCAGAGGCCCCTTCCTTTGTCTGGAGGAGGAGGGGTCCCGGGTTCCTGGGGCACCTCGGCCCGTACCCAGCCGCGCCTGGCCATCGGTGTGCGGAGGAGGAGCTGCGCGGATCCGGAGCCGCCTGCAGAGGCCCCTTCCTTTGTCTGGAGGAGGAGGGGTCCCGGGTTCCTGGGGCACCTCGGCCCGTACCCAGCCGCGCCTGGCCATCGGTGTGCGGAGGAGGAGCTGCGCGGATCCGGAGCCGCCTGCAGAGGCCCCTTCCTTTGTCTGGAGGAGGAGGGGTCCCGGGTTCCTGGGGCACCTCGGCCCGTACCCAGCCGCGCCTGGCCAT